TCCAGTGATCAACAGCATGAGCATCGATCTGCACAATTGGGAACCGGTGACATGTGTCACCCAAGTCGGCGAGCCTGACCAATCGATCCCGTTAGTCGCCTCTCACGACAAGCATAGACGCCTTTTGTGGCAAGCATGGGTTGCTGAAGACCTATTCTACCCCGGATCTTCACGGGTCTAACTCAAGAGTGATTCTGTCCCTAGGCTAGGATCACTAGTGCGACATTTAAGGGGAGTGATTTCATCCTGCCACACTTCAGACAAAAATCTACCAAAATACACACATTTGTACAGAAAATTTAAAAGGGAAAATCTTTATAACATCAACCAAACTATGGCTTTATTTACAAACAAATAACATAACAGTGTGATGTATGAGTCGTATACTAAACAGTCACAATAAAAATAAGAAATCAACAATAACAGATAAAATATCAATTAGAAAAATGTTTGCACTATATACAACTTGAAACAATCTCATTAAAATCAGATCTTGATGTTCACTTCCCCAGGACATCCCTTTTCACGTCACATCAGAACAACCTTTGTCACGCTTTGACAAGTGAAAGTGTGGCTTACTTTTGAATTCATTCTCAAAAATGGTAAGAGTACTGATAATAGAATTACTATTTCACAAGGGAACAGGTCAAAAGGGCTGCATGACAAAAGGGACGCAAAACGGAAAAGTCAAAAGGAAGAGTCAACTCAATGTCAATTGTAAGGTTTAATAACAATGAAAACAATACTCTAAAATATTCTGACAGTATTCACTGAACAGCAGAGAAAACAAGACATCTTAGGGATTAGTGACAGCTTACATGATTGTCAAAACAAATATGGCATCAAAGGGATATATTGTGTATGTGTTTTTGTATAATATTTTAGTTTATTTCAGGTGTGTTGTGGTACTATTGTTAAATGCATTTCTCTGCCAAAGTATTTGTCATAATCATAAATGACAAGAGTTTTGTTACTTAAATGAAATAAATAACCATTACATACATCTATTCTTTCTGGTCATCATTTTCTTTCTAATATTGAAAAAATATCTATTAAAAACAGAACTAGTATACATAAAATATATATTGTATAGATGTATAACCTTTTACTATAATACACTTTTTTAAAACAAGATGCTATTATTATTTTTGGTATATGGGGCCCTTTTGACTAGGGGAGACCCTTTTGACTAGGGGTTTCCGGCCCTTTTCCGTTTTGCGGCCCTTTTGACTAGGACCCTTTCACAATACCATGATATGACTTTTAAATTTTGTCGCAAAACTATGACCCATAAGGTCATCACCTCTCCACACAATTTCATTGAATATGCCCAGCAATATTGAGTTTTCATTGAGAGGCGTATTTTATTGCAAGTGCTAGTTTATGAAAGCACTCTTATTTTCAGTATATTTTGAACTTCAGTTACTGCTTCATTCATCAGGCAAAGGGTATTTTAAATGAGAAATATATTATTATTTTAATTCAGCAATGCACTAATTCATTTTTTATGCACATTATTATTTGGTAAATCATACTAATTCTTCACACAAGTTTTGTGATGAAAATAACAGGTATGTGATGTGCTGGTGGTCTAACAGTGTTATGCACCCTTTTCATGAATTTTAAAGGACGACAGTGACCTGTGCATGAACATGCATGAACTTTACAGGTATTGCAATATTTATTCTTCATACAAAAGGATTTCATGTCATGGAAACTTCAAGACTTTTCTGAGACACAAGAAAATAATTTGAAAAAAGGGGGACCAATCCAAGTCAAGAAGGATCTGGCAAGTCCATATTGCCTCAGCTCAAAGAATTATACTTGGCTCATTTGGATTTTATACATTTTTTTTAAGATATACATTTTTTAAATAGGACTGCTTTATTTCTGGGACTAAATGTCTATCTCGGGAACTTGCTTCCAAGCTACTTTCAATGCTACGTTTGCCCAGAAATGACTGGAAATACTGGTAGTTTCATACTTATGCATTTTTGGTTCCTTACTATGATGCATATTATCCTTACAATGTTCCTGCATTTTGCTGTAAAAATAAATTCACCAATGAATACTGTAAATCATGAAATTAATGCATCACGAATTTAATGCGATTGCTAGGGTCTAGACTAAAATGCATCACGAAATTAATGCGAGCTCAGGAATCTGTGTTGATGATAAAATGTGAAACCCTGAATCTTTGGTGTTATTCACTTGTTATTTACGAAAACCTGAATTGAGCTTGTTAAGCAATGAATGGAAATGAGCTGACGATGTTTTGATTACGCTGCCATGTTTGATCACGAGCTTGCTTGCTACTACTTGTCTTATGACAACATGTATAAACGTAATCCGACTTGAAAGACAAGTCATCAACCAAGGTACAACAAACACGTGTCTGGAGAATGTCCGGTCTGGCTGATGTGCTTGAGTGACTTCAAACAATGACCACCAGTGATAATTACATGTGGTTTGAGATACCTGTAATGAGGAAGTGACCTGTATTGGTGTAATGTGTAGTGTCAACAGATTTACGTTTTCTGTCTTTTATTAAGTAGACATGGTCAGACTGAAATGCATCATTATAATAATGCGAGAAGAGTACAGACGCATTTTTTTGCATTAATAAAATGCTCGCATTAATTTCATGATTTACAGTAATTGAATACGATGTCATTCATGCGTACCATGAATTCAACCTCTGAATATGTGCCCGTATCTGCTCATTCCTTAGTATCTTGTAGACCTACAGAATGGAACGGATGCTTGAAACCGTATTATGATCAGCTGTCAGTTCTGTAATGTTGTGGGCGTTACCAGATAAATTTACCCTTAGTTTGATCGATGGATTCTAAGAAAAACTGGCTATGTTAAATTTGACCTTGTTCAGAGATCATCCTCATGAGAAGTTGTTGTGCTGTATTCTAAAGCTGCTCTGAATTAACTAACAAGAAGTCGACATTAGCCAATCAGAAAGCAGATACTTTCTGTTTTTCAAATGTTTCTTTCCAATTATAGGCGAAACAGACAATGAGTTCGATGCAATCAGACATACAGCCTGTAACTGCTGTTAGGATACCCCACATAAACCTTTTCCAGGTTGAATGATTAGAAAACTCATTCAGATGGTCACTTGCCCAGTCTCCTGGTCAACATCTTGACTAGTTGGATGAAAGGTTCTTCTAGGACTTTTGTTAAAACACAATTATCACTTATTCATGACATATCATATACATTGCTGGTTATGAAAAAACATATAAACAAAATTATAAGCGTACAATCGCAAATCAAAAGTGCAATATTTTGTACTTGGGTTTACTTCCCAAGAAACGAAGCAGCCGGGATACCGAACCCACTCAGAGCGGGTGGGTGTGCACTCAAGTGTAACGGCTGGTTCATTAGCAGATGCCCTCACAGCTCATTGTGTGTGTATATAGAGATGTTGGGTTTTGTAAATACATGCTCATATTTTGTGTATAACATTTTGTAATCAACAGACATCATAACATGTCATGTGTACAAGTATCACACCTGCCTGTCTGTGTAATTACATAACGTGACAGAGACCTAACTCAGGCCATAAATCAATGCGTTTTGTTTTTGGTGTATAGCCTGATAGGTGTTAAGTTCAAATTGCATGTGGTCAGTGATCGAAGTTGTGTATTTAATATTGTCATTAGCAGACGGGCAGGCAGACACATAGGTGTCAATAAAACAGACATTGAGTTTTGTCTGTGACAACCACATATCTATATCACAGTTAGAAATTCTGTCAATGCTAAATAATGACATTGCTTTTAAGTATCGAACTGAGAAAGTGACTCGGTAAGAAGAACGTGTGGTGAAATAGACAAATGAAATTATATAAACAGTTAAATCGGTAATCTACTGTCATAACATATAAAAAAGCTCGCGCCTGTGAAATATCAACAAAACATTAGAAAAATAGCTCACATCAAAGCCTTCACCGAGTATTCACTGGACAACCCGCTTCCAAGCTGCATGAACCTATTTCACTGCGCATGTGCTATGAGCGCAGCCCAGCTGTTGAAACCACTTCAATTCTCCCAAGCGCTTGGGAAAATTAGTGAATCGTTTGAACTCCGATTTCACGCGGGTTTTTTCATCGCGTTACTTTTCAACTTTATCAGTTGAATTTGCATTTTTTGATGATTTGTTTTGGTAAGTCCATACCGAAAGGTATCAGAATCTGCAAAGTTGTGTTTTACGTTGCATATGACCTTTAAGTAGCGACAGTGAGGTAAGATCTAAATTTTAATGGGATAGCCGGAAGCAGTTACATCTTATTTCTCTGAATGACCTAAATAATGCAACAAAGCCAACAGTTAACAACAATGATTAATCATCAAAGATTGCTCATTTTCAATCAGTTTATAAAAAATTAGGGATGGTATTATGATGTACTCCCTAATCTGTTTTACTTGCCAGTTTGGTGCTTATAACTTTTGATGTTACATTATGGATCAAATTTCATGGATGCTGAAATGACTTCCCAGTGAAGACCAGTTGTAGCTAATGGGAGTTGGGTATATTTATCTTTGAATATTATCAAAACAAATAACATAATTTTGATAGTCAAGGATGATGATGCATATGCTCTGGTATTATTTTCACCATTCTGAATAATTATCAGTTTATGTAAATGCTGAGTAATGAACAACAAAATGCCCTTGAGTCACACAGGCAAAGTTTTCATTACATCGACTAAGGGACCGTTCATATTATTTATGGCGTGTGAGTGCGTGTGTGTGCACGTGCGTGTGTGGTGATGATGATGATGTTAAGGAGGGGGGTGGGGGTGTCACCAATTTTGTTCTGGGAAGCTGGGAAGATAGTGGGGTCACCAATTGTGTACACACGTTTGGGGGGAAGAAGGGTCAGCTATTTTGTACATGAAAATATTTTTAAAATTATGGGAAGGGGTGTGTGTGTGTGTAATTGATTTTGTACATGACATGCAGGAGGGTTCACTTGCTTTGTACATAAATCTTAGGGTGGTTAATTCACATTGTGCATGCTTCTCCATAAAAATCATCATCACCCCACTAGCAATACATTATGATCGGTCCCTTACAAAGTTTACTATGAATCACTGCTAATGCATCAGGGCATTTTTTACTTCATATCAAGTCTGTGACAAAAACTTTTCATTCTATAACTGTCTTCAGTCTTTTGTCTCAAGTTGCAGACTCCTGAAACATTCTTATCAGCATAGTTGATTACGGATACTCTGTATAACATTGTCATTCATGTTGGTATCACAAAGTCTTCGCTTCTCTCCAGCTCTTCTCATGGGTGGTTCTGTTCTCTGAAAACATACATGAGTATATCTTCACATAATACTGGAAAGAAACTTTGCATAAAAAACATATTCTGTAAGATATTGTAATTAGGCAGGGAAAATGATCTTTCAAAGAGACTGGATTAGATTCTTACATTGATGCAATTTCTCAAAACCATTGTTATCGTGGCCCCCATGATAAGGGGCCGTTCATAATTTATGGTGTGTGTGTGTGTGTGTTTGTGTGTGAGAGAGAGAGAGAGAGAGAGAGTGTGAGTGAGTGAGTGAGTGTGTGTGTTTGTGTGTGAGAGAGAGAGAGAGAGAGTGTGTGTGAGTGTGTGATGATAATGATTTTAAGGGGGGGGCACCCATTTTGTTCTGGCGAGGTAGGGGGTCATCAGTTTGTACACACATACTAGGGGGTCATCAATTGTGTTCATAAAAATATGTTTAAAATTATGCTTAGAAATTATGGGTAGGGGAGGGGGGTCATTGATTTTGTACATGACATGCAGGGGGGTCACTATTTTGTACATAAATTTTATGGGGGGTCATTCACATTGTTCATGCTTCTCCATAAAAATCATCATCACCCCCCTAGCCATAAATTATGAACAGTCCCTAACAGTACAAACTACTGAAATTGTTGCTATGAAACTACTTGGCAGTTTTAAAGAGTGTACAAATGCTATGTCATATTCATGCAAGAGATATCACATGTATGACAGCATGGAGTATGTGACCATAATGTGCACTAATTGACATTATCCCAATAATAACTTGTCGAGATCAGCGACAGCTAACATCAGTCTCTGCTGGAATTTCACAGAATTTAGAAGTTATGCGTGTTGAAATAATACTGAATACCAACAATAGATGGGTCTATTGTGCTATATTGTATTCATCTTGTGCTAAAGGCTTCTTGTCATTACAACAAATAATGACAGTTTATGCTTAAAGAGTGACAACATGAGGTAAGAATGCGGCAGAAATGCAAGACTCTGCAGACAACCCCTGATAACCAAGTGTCTTCATCCAAAAGCATAATTGAGAAGGAATGCTTTATCCTAAAATGACCCAAATTAACCCCAAATTTCAGCATGACACATAGATCCTTTGTGGGTGGTACACATGAACTGAACGTTATTCAATAATAGCATTATATGTACAACCTGCAAGCAAAACCCTTGTCTCGTCACATCAAGAGACTTAACCGTACTTATTGCTACACTGCCGGGTGCACAGTTGGGGATTACAAATGAACTGGCCAGTCAGTGCAATGTGCAGGGTATCCATGTTAAATTGTAAGTCATCTTCTGTGACTGGTCTGATACAATCAGCTACATATACATATGACAACACATGTCTATACATAGGTGAAATAATCTTGAATGTGATTTTAGAACCATTTGTTTCCTCAACTAACCTTGCATACAAAACTAGGGCTGCACGGTATTACGGTAAGTTTGGCCTAGGACAAACCTTCTCCGGGGGAGATTAAGCCTAGGGGGGAAAAGTTTGGCCAAGGATAAAGTTTCCCCGGGAAAAGTTTGTCCTAGGGAAAGTTTGGCATGTTACACCGGTAAACCACAATACAAGACTGTAACAATTACGTATCGCGATACGTTTATGATGTACCGGTATACTGACAAAGATTTATTTGTTCAATTTTAATCCATTCAACACAAATCCATTAAGACTCCTGCCCGTATACCCCCTAAATGTTAATGGTGAGTAAAAAGATATATATGTATATTCAGGTAATATGGGTGGGGAAGTCTTTTCAAATGATTGGCAACGGGTCCACTTAAAGATTGTCAAAGAGCAAAGTATCGATGTTTCGAGGAAATCATTACAATTGAATAAACTAATGAATAAAATCTACAGTTTTCATAAAAGTCACTATATTTTTGTGTGTGCGATCATGTTATGCAAGTCAAGTGACAATCTCAGCTTTCGTAGCCTCGATCTTCATGCTCGGACATGATGTTTAATGTGAAACAAATTGCATAAAGAATATTTGTCACAGGTTGCTTTCTAACGATACCCGCCATCACATGAATCTTCTCGAGTGTTATTCATACGGAGCTTCGACATCAGAGGCATTTCCCAATGTTGTGTCGTGTTTACGGGCGAAAAGCCACGGCTATCGGGAAATAGGCGCCGATGCATATTATTTAATTAATCTTTATATAGTAATTTTCTGATGACGTAAAAATGAAAATATATAAGAAATATGTGAGAGAATATTATGACATCTTACTAATGGCTTAAAATAACTGGAGTTTTCGTCTCCTTCGTGGTATATCTGGACATTGTCAGTGTGTAAACTTGTATATTTATTAGAAATAAACTTAAAGTTGAAGTTGTATTATTTGAATGATATGTTAAAAATACCTTTGGGATTTATCAACAGTTGGATTAGACCTAAATGATTGTAGTAGCAATAATGTTTCCAAGCTGATATTTTCCTTGACAAACGGAGGCTTCTATCTTATTATAAGGCTATGTTTCTCATGTTTAATTTTTTTTGTCATTATTCTATTCAGTCTAAAGAAAGTGTACTTTACCTTTTACAGAAAGACTTTTGCCCATCTTGAGTGCCTTGTTAAATCATTTCTTTATGAGAAAGTTTACCAAACATCATTCATGAATTAGGTAATGTTAATAATGTTAATCAAAGACATAGGTGCATAAATCAGTGTTTTGATTAGAATGTTCACTTTAAGATCATGTCACATGATTGTGACTTCAATTATTTTTTTCTTGAGTAATACAGATGTGCACAGTAGCTCAGACTCTGTAAATTATTTGAAATTCAACATCCTTTGCTATTTAAAGAAGTTAAAGTATATAAATAAACTAACGTGCAAAAGCAACGATACCAAGTCGTAATCACTGATATTACAAAATGACAAACCACCAATGTGTAAAAGAAAAGTGAATTTTAAAAACAGGTGTATGGGCATGTGTATGCACATGCATGTTGCCCATACACCTGTTGTCAAAATTCTCTTTCCTTTTACACAATGGTGGTTTGTTGTTTTGTAATATCAGTAATTTTGACTTAGTATAGTTTCTTTTGCCTGTTAGTTTAGTATGGGTGGGGGGCGGTGGGGTAGCCTAGTGGTTAAAGCGTTGGCTCGTCACGGCGAAGACCCGGGTTCGATTCCCCACATGGGCACAATGTGTTAAGTCCATTTCTGGTGTCCCCCGCCGTGATATTGCTGGAATATTGCTAAAAGTGGCGTAAAACCAAACTCAGTCAGTCAGTAGTATGGGTGGGTTGATGGAGGACATGGTGTAAGCTAGTTTCAGTTGATGTTGTCATATACAGTCGTGCCCCGTTTATCCGGACACTTGTGTTTTTCTTGAAATTGTCCAGATAAACGAATTTTCGGATATCTGAACCACGGACCATATGTAAAAAGACATACAAAGAAACGAACATAATTGACCCCAGACGTAATCTTTATTGATAAGACATCAACAAATAACAGTGCATGCATAAATCACATCTTGTCAAATAAATTAGTCAAGTCAATAACACGTGCGAACATACCTGTACATGCATCTGTCTGTCAAATGCTAGCAACCAATCATGAAACAGTTCTGATGTCATCCACACATTTGCATTGTTCCTGTACCTAACATAAACTTCCGGTTAAAAGTCACTACCAAAACAACATCTAGCCTTGCCAATCACAACTCAAAATTAACTCAGCGTCACCTTGCTAATTACAGGTAGTTAATCCTCTCACGCTTTAAAGACTGCCGACTTCTTTAAGGTTAGGGCACGCAAGGCCACTCGGTAAAATGTGTGTGTAAACATACTGACCGGTGCTCAGCCATCTGGATATACGAGAATAAAATGCATATAATTCAGCTTTTTGTATGTGAAAATGACAGTCCGGTTACGGAAACCGGATTTCCGGATAAGTGAGTAATTTTACACGTTGTGAATTCGTTTTAAGGAATTTTCGTTCGGAAGGCGAGTTTTCCAGACATATGAGGATCAGATAAACGGGGCATGACTATATATGAAATGAGAAGACATACATTTATCTGTGTTAACTTTCCCTTGGACAGCAGTTACCATTAAAAGAAAGACTTGTTGAAAGTTTTTTATAGTAAAGAGTAGGGCTAGTAATATTTTGAAAGGACTAATGACATACAAAATCCACTAGCCCGGAGGACTAGTTAAAATGTTGAGTGAGTGTCGATCCCTGCTGTTTTAGAATAAAAATATAAACAGAAGAATGTTCTGGTTTTTCCTTTAGCTTGCTTTGAAAGAAGCTATACAATGCACAATGGTTACTCACATATACAGTGATTCTACTTTAAGGTAAAACAATATTACAAAGTGGACAGATCTCAATAACTGTTCTTCCACAATATATCGCAATACGTATCGCAATACAGAAGAGTGTATCGCAATATATCGCAATACGAAATTTGGGGCAATACACAGCCCTATACAAAACAACAGACATAAGTCAACATAAATTTCTGCAGACAAAAACATTATGACACATGCTTTAACTGTTTGAATTTAACGTTTTTACACTATTCATAGATACTATGTTTTTTTCCCAGTAAGCTCCAATAAAATTCACTGATTCTCATATCAATACAAAAGTAGGTAAAAACATAAACAAATTACTCACCAAAGTATGTTGATATGTCCAGTATGTTGGGTTGTTGTGATTACTGTCAGCATTGATGGTTGGTGTACTGAGTATATCATAGATAGGTAGCTGCTGATTCTTTGCAAATGTTTCAAACCCACCTATGAACAAAGGAAAGGAATAAAACAAGACCACTAAGTGTAATAAGATGTATACTTGTGTTCAAACCGTGGTAAACTAATGTTCACCCAATATGCACATCCTTACATACTGAAGGATAATTTTATATTTTGAGAACAGGTTTCCATGTAATCATGTGCATTCAAAATGACATCCTCAAACGGAATGCGTATGTCATAGTGTCACTTTCCTGCAATGACCACAAAAGATCAAAATAAAGTAATCCATAAAAATGAATCTATGTTGCAAGGTCCATCAAACTAATGGAAGGCTACTGCTCAATATTCAGACTACTGGAGGCTTTCATTATGAATGCACATGAAAACTAACACTCCTATGACTTTGTACTGCCCTGAAAAATACACTCTTTAACATTACAACCTAGAGATTTTTATTTCAATCACTGGGGTTGAAATTTGATTACTTTAATAATAATGTCTTAGTTCACAGTCCTTCCTCGACCAAACTAACCTGTGTTAAAATGCAGGTTCATGTCTGGTGTTTGCTTGTCACACTTGATTCTCCTCTTTACCACCACTTCAGTTATAGACAGCGAAGGAGAAGACTCCCGGCTGTCGGTTGACTGTAACAGCAGGTCATAATATCCATTGAATAGTGATTTTCTGAGGATTGGGATACATTTTTCCATGTGTATATGTTTAAGGTGGTTCAAGTACTGCTCACAATACTCACGTCTGTGCAAGGGGATGTCAGCAGTCTGGGAAAGGTGACAGTTTGGCTAAAAAGAAAAATGTATATTGCTTTCATTGGATGACTTTCATAAACAATTGCTAACAAAATCTTCAGAATAAATAAAAATTGTTAGTGTGTACTCATGAACTTTTTTCAGTACAGCATTATCACAGTATCTCTCAATGAAGTAATAAAATACAGTTTGATAAATAGGTTATAAAAATATATCAAACCTTGTGTCCATGGTCATCAGCTGATGTTTGCTAGAGCTGAACTGATAACTCTGTGTCCTTCTGCCAATGAAAGGTTTGTTTGTCATTCTAGTTCTGTCTCCAATGTCTTCATCTCTAAATTCATACACTGATGCATTCTTGTTTGAAGAATTTACAGATGGGACTGCAGGGCTTCTGAGTGTCTTTGATGTTGAGGTTGATCTTAGTGTTGTCTCTGAAACATTTCCTCTGCATAAAGTCGTTTTTGACCTGCCTTTATTACATTGTTGATTATTCGCTGAATTCCTCTGCCTCAATACTCTTCCTTCAAACTGCTCAGAAGATGGTGTGTGTTCAGATCCAACAGGTTTGGATTTCTTGGCTTTTGAAAATTTTGTCCTCTTTTTCTTCCTTTTATTTGTCTTCTTTTTTTCAATATGTGTCACAGTTTCAGTTACTATAGCCTCTGTTTGTTGATCTCCAGTATGTACCAGGTTTGAAACTGCTTCAGTTTCATTTCTTAGAGGCTGAACAGTGGCAACTGGGGAGAATGTTGATTTTGCAAAGAAAGATCTGGAATTTAGCTTCTTGTAGTTTGCCGTTAGTGGGGATACAATTGCTGATTCACGTACTGGTAAAGATCCATTCGCTTTACATCTTCCAAACACAACAGTGGATTTTGGAAAGCCACAGGCCTCATTAGTACTCAGTCTATCCAAACCAGCATATTTGTTTGCATCAGGTACTCTATCCCAACTAAATCTTCTACCAACATCTCTTTGCACACTGAACTGTGTAGTTTTATGGTCTTGCTGTTTTTGATGTTCTGCATTCCTCAGTTTTTGTAACTCCTTTACATGATTCTCATGCAAACTTTCCACCTGCTTCTTAAAATCTTCATGATACTGACCCATCTTATCCTCAAACTGAGGTAGAGACAAGAAACTACTGAACTGATCATGCCTACACTCTGCATCTTTAATGTTTTCCACTGCATTCTCAAGCTGCTGTTCTTGTAGTTTCAACTGTTTCTTAAACTGAGTTTCAACAAATCTCTCCACTGATTCCCAGTGCTTCTTAAAAAGATCCTTTATCTCTTTCCTTTGTAATACTTGTTCTCTGGGATGATGTGAGACTTCTGTTGGCCTATCGATAAGCCTGGATATGTGACTTTCCAGCTCTTCCATCTGTTGCTCTTGTCCTGTCTTCAACTGTTCCAGGATATCTTGCAGACAAATACTCTCCTTTTTCCTGATGTCTTTGCGCAAGTTGGAAACTTCTGTCATCAATCTGAGGCATAGTGCACATAATGTTTCAAATTCAGGCAGTAAGTTTCTAGAAATGTTTCTGTTATTTCATAATCATATTCACATTTTTATAACTATCTGTAACATTTCAGTAAGAATTCAAAGTGGCTTTTATTTTTCATTTGTAACAGTACAAATTGTAAAATAATAACTTGAGAATTGTGATATAATTTCCTTTCGGAATAATGAGATCCCTTATGGAGTGGAATATCAAAAAAAGTTTCTTCTTTCAATATCCATCACAGTTTATTGAAATTAAAAGGTATTCTGCACCTATATAATTAATCCAAAAATTATGTGGACTAGTAGATAGATACCACGATGCCGTACAAACAGACATTAAAAGGTAGTACTTGTTGTTTGGCATTTAGGGGATAAAACAAGAGCTGGTTTGCTTGGAGTCAGTATCTCAAAATGTATCCATTGTACATTTTAGCATAGCATCTCAGTGGGCTAGCACTAAAAGTCCATAGGTAATACACACAACCACACACATGTAGTTTTAAACCCATTTCACCTCAACTCTATCAGCTTGGTATCAGTCATTAGCATTGTTTGGTTCTTGAAATGAAGCTTATCATCAATAATTTCACCTTTTTTCTGAATCTTTGGCCTGAGCCTGATGAGCTTTCTTGAGGTCAGAGTAAAGTTTTTGCTGTTGCTCCAGTTGCTGTTTCTGCTCCTGGATCTGTTGAGTGTACTGCTCATGGTTGTCACGAGTTGTCTCCAGCAGCTCTGACAGTTTCTCATCAACTTTTCGATGGGGAGATAGGAATTCCTTTTGCAGGGCACACACTATCTTATTTGGCTTATCTTTCTCCTGGTCATCAAGTATCTTCTCCAAAGATTGAATCTTGGCATCTCTCTGTTGAAAAATGGTTGTCAGTAGTGAATTGAGAAAATGAAGGCTTCCTTGTTTTATCATGAGAGAAGAAATACAATATACTCTGTAATAATCTGATACTCTGAGGGCAGCAAATATTGTATCAACTGTGACTTTTACGGTTATTGCTATAGATCTATGTCAGTTTGCTTGATCAACTTAAAATATTAAACTACACAAATTAAACATTTTATTTTATAAATCTAAAATGGAACATGTATGAGTTACACCTGATACAAGTTTAAATTCTTTCTCCAAAATAGATTTACTATGATGTATTACAAAAAGAAAGAATTTTACCACGGCTAGATCCGTTTCCAAATCATGTATCCTGCATGAGTTACTGTCTTTCTCCTGAACAGCATTTAGAATCTTATCTTGGTGTTTGCACAGTTCATCCAAGACTACGAAGAGAAAACATAAATAGAATATTATTTGATGTCATCATTAAGTTATCATGAAAGTGTTTCATTCATTCACCATCTCCACACAAGACTTGCCCAACACTCTGCACAGATAGCATACAAGACAACAGTCAGAGTCAAACATGAACAAGGTCATGAATAGCATGAATTACAGCATTCTTTACTGGAGCCTCAGCCTAAAAATATGTAGGAATATCAACTAGTTAGTTTAGTTCTAAATTATCTTACTATCTCACCAATAGAGCTCTAAATCTGGCATATCAATACTTTGTCAGTTAACATCTGTTAACCGAACAACCAGTTTTGTTCATACAAATGTTGCATTGTGTTTCATACTTCAGTGGAACAAAAGCTGCTGAGGGTAGTGAAAGTAATGTCCCTTTTCACTATATTCACTGAAACACTTACATGATGTTATAACTTGTTGCAGGTCTTTTTCAGACTGATCTGCAGTTTGTTCTAACTTTTCTCTTACAGCACTCAAAGTCAGTCTAACCTGCAAATGTAGGTTGCAAATGTTGGCATGAAAATATGAAACAGCCCAAAACTTTGAAATACGAGTATCATAATGAAAGAAACACATTTCTGAACTTATCATTCTACCCTCATTTATGCTGGAATGAGTGAGCGAGTGAGATTAGTTTTACGCCGCAGTCAGCAATATTCCAGCTATATGGCGGCGGTCTGTAAATAATCAAGTCTGGACCAGACAATCCAGTGATCAACGGCATGAGCCTCGATCTGCGCAATTGGGAACCGATGACAAGTGTCAACCAAGTCAGCAAGCCTGACCACCCCGTTAGTCGCCTCTTACGACAAGCATAGTCGCCTTTTGTGGCAAGCATGGGTTGCTGAAGACCTATTCTAAGGATCTTCACGGGTCATTTTGCTCTTGATATTTAAAAAGGGTCTTCTTATTACCAGCAGGTATTGCTGGCAGTAGTGGGCCAATCCAATGAGGGTGACACCAACAGTCTAGCAAAGTTTTTGAAATTAATGAAAACATTTATTTTCAGATAAAATATCTTTTTTATGCCTACATATCAAGGTTAATCTACATGACAACAACATCATTGGTCCTAATGTTAACTTGAGTCCTGCAGAATCTGGGGCTCTTCCTTTTCTTTGGTTAGGTCATCTTTGTGGTTTGCAATCCTACAGCTGATCCATATGTATGCTCTCCTGGCAGAGGGCATATATGTTCAGTAATGCTCTTTGCACTGTCTTGTTTAGGGGGGAACACCAACCTTCAAAGTAATAAGGTTGGTATGCTGGTTTCATATCACAGCATTTAACATGTGGTGTCACCTATCCAAAGATTGTCAGGTAGTCATTGGAGGCTGTGATCTGATGAAGGACAACTTGTCTGGTGAGGTATCCATAGCCTCTACCCATGCATCGTGCATTATGCTGAGAGGAACAGTAGCAATGCAGCAAGTGTTGTTATCCCCCGCCGAGCGTTTAGCGCGAAGCGGGGGATATAGTATTAGGCTCTGTCCATCCGTCCGTACGTACGTACAAATTGGAATATCTTAAGAACCGTTCTCTAGATTCTTTTCATAATTGGTACATTGGTTCATCACAGTATAAGAAAGGTCCAAGTCAGGTTTGGTGACCTTGACCTTAATTTCAAGGTCACAAGGGGACTTTAATGTTTTACCTGCATGTTAAGCTATCTCAAGAACCTTTCACTGGATTTTCTTCATATTCAATACAAAGCTTTATCTAGGGAAGGCGCAGGGCACAGTCGATTTTGATGACCTTCACATAATTTTCAAGGTCATGGCGACACTTTGAAGATTTCAGCATGTAAACCTGCATGTTAAGCTATCTCAAGACCCGTTCACTGGATTTTCTTCATATTTGAAACCAAGCTTTATCTAGGGAAGGCGCAGGGCCCAGTCGATTTAGGTGACCTTCACTTAATTTTCAAGGTCACAGCGACACTTTGAATATTTGAGCATGTTAACCTGAATTGTCAGCAAGATATTTCAAACACAGTTCTTCTTCAAAGACTTTCAAGACTTCCCTTAAATGTTTTTCAAAAAGCAATTTCTTTATTACTATTTTTGCATATTTCATACACTATGACATTCATGTCAAAGTCAGTCTTGAATATATGTGTGTGTTTGAACACCTAAAGAGCAAGACATCAAGAGAGGTTGACTGGTCATGTTTTTGTTGACATTTAACTTAAACTTTCATTACTTTATAAGTTTGATTTGATAATTTGCGGCAGGGGATTATGTCACCTTAGTGACAATGCTTGTTTTAATATAGAAATACCTTCCCAACAAGATAATCCCTACCAGAATGGGATAAAGACGGTCAGTTCCGTATATTCCATATCTTTATTCATTTTGTAGAGGCCATAACATTTCTTTGTCCTGTGTTGGGATTTGAACAACAACCTCTCTAATTTGAGGTTGGACATCTTGTCTACATGAATATGAGGTTAACAATGTCAGTAAGATGACAAGGTAAGGATGTTATCTCCACACCCTGCTACATACTCTTGATCCGAGGTCTGATGCCGTATTCACACAGCCAAAGAGGTTGTCCCTATCAGAAAGCTGACAAGGTATGGATGTCATCTTTGTGATGACTCCAGGCCCTGCTACAATTTTACAAAAATCAAATATTTCAATTTCTTATGCAAGGTCAGTTTACAGAATGAACAGCACATAATGTAAATGAATAGGAAAACTAGAAATAAGAATATTTACCAGTTTTACTTCTAATGTGTAGTGCGTTGTTGGATTTTGACCATTTTTTTCCTCCAAAGTCAAGTTTTGTAAAGTCTTGTTAAGTTTTCTCATGGTCTATCATGGTATCAGTGATGGGAAAAACGGTCTGCTGAGTCCCGGAAGCTCAAAGGTGCACTAGGGTTTGGCCTGCAGTCCACTACGGATGCCATTATGGTTGCTCCCACCCTGTCGCGTTCTGATGGGCTCCCTCACGTTTCTCACATTTTGATCAAGGTTTTGACATATCTTGCGAGTTCTGTCAAGACTTTTTACGGATGAAAAGTGGACGCCATCCAGCTTTGGAGCACGTTTGTGTCCACGGTATAAAAATAAGGTCTCCCAAGCAATAGCAGCCATTGTATCCTGAGAGACAAGAGCAGCATGAAACCCTGAAGATGAAGAAGATTTTGTGTTTGTATGTTTGCTTGGGGCATACATCGAGTCCTTGCGTCAGTAAGAAGGCCAGCATCAGCTGCAGAGAGGGAACACAAGGTGCTGTATCTCGCTGGCAATGTAAACCGTCACACGCCTGGAAGCATTGCGTAAGAATGGGATGAATCGGCCACCATACAACCAAGCTTGCCGTGAGGACAGGCCAAAATTGGCAGCAAGGGTGAAACAACCGTGACAAAACGGCAAACAAACATGCCGAACGTGACAAAACTTGAAAGGATCATGAGATGTAAGGGAATACACATGCCGCCCATTCCACTACAGACCGTCTACAAGTTTTGATATGGCCACACACACACACACACACACGTGTCTCACGTCTATCCCGTTTCGTCCCCATTTCAGCAAAACGGGGCTGCCGTGGCCGCCGGGAACATAGTGTAACCCTACCATAACATAATAGGACAAAAAGGGGGAAACAGCATCACCATGTTAAGGATATGACATGGTGCCATCTCACAGTCTAAGTTACTTGATGGAAAGTGTAACTCTGTTACACAACATAAGGACATTAAAACAGACACCATAGTACTTTTAGTTTGGTATACCTCTTTGGAGCAGTCTTGAACAGTGTTCACCACTTGTTGTAGGAAATCCCTGCAAGTATGTATGTGAATGTTAAGAAACTTGAAACATAATTTTGAAATAAAATCACTCACACTGAGAGTCTTTATTTTCTATGATTAACATGAAAAAGAATCAAAATTTAAAGTTTCATCCAGTTTTATAGTCTAGGAAGCAAGTAAACATTAATGCATCTGTTAATGCTTATGGGCAACTAGGCACAGAATGCTTTGATTTGGTAAAGCAATGTTTACAAGTAGTAACTCAGATAAGTCAGTTAGGCTGGGTAATGAGGAGAAGGACATGAGTACAGTGAGGTATGTGATATACTTTTCATTGACCAAAATTCATTTTAAATCTATGGTTAGGCTATGCATGCTTCCCTCTGACTTTAAAATGTTGGAAAAACAATATGCCAGGGTTCTGATAAAACAAATCCCAATCTGACACTTTGAGCCAAACTCATGAAATCTTCAGTGGCTACCTCCATAGGGTCAGGTTTGAGTACCTGGATAGTAAATTTTGACTGGTTTCATCCCTAGTTACTATTAACTATATTGAAAGTGGCCTTCCTAATGATCAAAGGGTTTAGATAACTATCAACTGATTGAAAATGTTCACAACACATAAATTACCTTTCATCTCTCTCCTTGGCCCTTGCTTTGTTTACTTGCAGCTGCTGAATACTCAAATTAGATTTTGTCTGCAAAGGTCTGCTTGTCACAGTGCTAGTGGTGGTATTTTGTTTGCTTGCAGGCACCTGCTTGAATGAAGCTTTGTTTTTCCACTTATCATACAGAGTGGGTTTCCTGCTCTGGGTACCATGCATTATCTGCAAGCATAAACATGTAAGTTCTTTCTGTACATTTGTGCGTATGTTCCTTCTTTGGTGAGTGTGAGTGATTTTGGACATTTTTGTTACGTTACAGTTTCAAAATAAAACAGTCTGCTTGTCAGAGAAAAGTACAATATAAAAATGGCTTATGACATTTCATTGTGAACCACCACTTTTACCATAAGGCATATGGAAACTCAGTGACAGACAATTTTTTACGGATTAGTGATGACAAAATAACTTTTAACCCTGTAGAATTATCTAATTCACACAATTTGCTGCATCATCTTTAAACTAAAACAGGAACAGTATCTGAGCAGTCGGTGATAAACATGTTTATTTTACCTACTGTTTGGTAGATAATTCAGTCAATTAGGTACCCTCCAATATTTTTTTGTGAGTCGAACCAGAAGACGTTCATTCAGAATACATAACTGGTTGTGAGGTAATGCGCAGATGTGACGTCACCAGTGCCGCACATTGAAACCATCTTAATGGAGCGAAGAAAAAATTGACGCTGGAACTAAATCCTGCTTAAAATTGTCTGCTTCCAGCCAATTTGATGGCGATGACCAACACCCTCTTCAAGGGGTGCAACATACAAGATCTGAAGTGTATAATTTCAAGCATACTTTTAATTTCTTTACAATAGCTTTCAGTAGCAAGTGTTCTCAACAAACAATTTCAGTCACTCTTAAACACAGTTTGTTATAGCAGAGCCCAGCTTATATTAAGTTGTTATGTGTACTTTTACTAAAAAAAGTCCCATGCCTAAAACTGAATCAAGCTTTTTTGTGCAATTTGTTATTTTACTCCCAAAACATTTCCCTTACCTTACATGACAGGATTGAGGCATTAATTGATGATTTAAAATTTATATCAAATGCATTTTTTGTGGGTATTTTGTTTTCTTTGGCTAGTGAAAGCATTATTTGCAAGTGTTTCCCAATTCCCATCATATTCTTGAACAAAATAGGCTTAACAAGAGTCATAAGTAGTGTGCTGTAATGATGAGGAAGTAATGTAATGTGTTGCATTTCAGCCATTGTTCAAGTGAAGTTGTTATACATACTTTTAGTTATCTCCCTTGATTGTTAAAAGTGTAGTTTTGGTGATTCTTAATTCCTTTGTATAAAAGTCTTTAGTCTTACTAAAAAGTGGGCAATATGGTTGTGGTCTGATCTTCACACTGATTCAAATCAAGGATCTCCAATCTTTTATGTGCTTCATGGATGAAGGAAAATACAGAAATACATGTGAAAAAAAGAAACAATGAAAGCCTGCCATGGTTCAAGACACTCCTAAACAGTTCTAAGGCTTGATATCCTTTGATAGTCTTCACTGAAAGCCTGAAACAACTTTATTCATGTCCAAAGCATGAAAATTTCAAGGTGACAATAGTTCTTCATGATGACATTGGGTATAGAGTGAACGCTTTCAAAGACCACTAGAATTATCACTGTAAGCTGTCTGTAACACTGATATATCACAACATGCTTTTCAAGCAATATCATAAATATTGCAATATTTTTTCTGAGCCCCTGTATATTGGGTAAAAATATTAAACATGTTTTATCAACATCTCTATCTATGTCTGTGGTTTAAAATCTACACAGACTTTCATTTACAACTGATGTTTCCCTTGTAATTAATTGACAAAATAGCAAACAAGAAATGAAAGAAATAATCCCAAACCAGCCCACCTAATTTGAGATTGCTGTTATCAAAACTGTTACATTAATTTTCAGGGCCTTTGTATGTCAAAAATAGGATCTGCATGTACAATCAGTGTCACTCACACTGTACATCACATATCGCAATACGGATAGCTATATTGCAATGTATTGGGAAGCTATCTATTTGTCAATACACCGTTCTAAACATTATACATACATGAACTGCAAAGCAGCATTTGATTACATAGGATGTAAGCCAGAGACTGCTTGTGTTCATGAGGAAGTGTTTTGTGGCATGCAAATGCAGTCACACTCAAAACTGACTTTCTCCTTTGACTCCTTGTTCTTCATATACTGGGCCTTCAAGTCTCACGTCATTATAATTATAACGTAAACATTCCCTCTGGATTATGGTAGCCTTATTCCTGTGGATTAACAGAATACATACAGAAAATCAAAAGAAATTTTAACACTAAGTCATAGCTATTCCTAGTGGTATACCTAATCTACCCCTGAATTATCTCCCTTGATCCTGACGTCAGTCACTGTATTGTTCTCCTAGAACCTTTCATATAATTTTTCTGTATGGTCCACACGCATGACGTGCAGAGAATTGAGCACGAGAATCCTGTTATAAAGGCTTACCTTGCTCAATATCGGATCGATGCTTATTGTGTCAGGAAATGTCGGAAGAAGATTGGTTGTTGATGGACAAATCTCGTTCCTAAGTTAGGAAGCGTAAACATTCATCGTCATCAGAATGCTCTAAGTCGAAGAAAGTTCAGGGATCTCCGCCTTTATCTATAAAATCTGAACCGAAGTCTCGTTCTAGATCTAAATAAAAAACGTCTCCCCAGTTGGATATAGCTGCGTTCTCAGAACTTTTGGCGGGATTTAAATCCGATATCCAGGCAGCCATGGATAAATCTGTACGGGATATCGAGATGAGGAATGATGAAAAGTTTGATCGCCTGTCAAAACATTAGGAAGATCCTGTATTACCCGGCATGAGGGCAGACAGCCGTAGGGGCTTGGTGGTCGATGGCAAGAGCCGGGAGCCAAAGTCCCTTCCTAAGGAAACCAGGGGTGCAATGACTGGGAAAGCCGGTTATCATGCCCTGGCTTACGTAGGAGGCCGGTCCCCTCAGGGGGAGAAGCCTAGGGCTTCAAGCGACGGGGATGGAGTCGGCCCAGCCGGCTCCAGACCCGGGGTGACATGAAAGAAGGCTTGTTGACGGTACAACTTATGGACATGTCAGCACAGGATTTTAAGCCGGGCTGGTCATTTAAAGAAAAGCTGGAACTTTTGCACAGACTTTATCCTAATACTCTACCACCACCCTCGGAAGAACAGGAGATAGATATTCCCGTGGAACTCAGATTATCAGGTTGCCTTCCCCCAGAACAGATACCCAGGTTGTCATTACCACATTCATCATCACTTAAGAAAGTGTTGGAGAATTACAACTTAGGCCTCTCTAAGGCTACGAACTTGAATTCTTTGTGTAGGGTTTCTCATAAACCCATTTATTCCATTCATGATCGTGTTATCCCAGCCAATCAACCAAGTTTAGACAAGGACTTTAAACAGTTACAGGATGCTAGAGGCTCTCGTGAAAATGCACCGTTCTGTACCTTCAAGAATTGTAAGGAATTGGATAAGCAGCCCGTTAAGCGATTGGACAACTTACAGCTATTGAGCGGATACAGCGGCTAAATTCAGTGAGGAATTTACCGGATGTTAAAGGGATTTTCTATTGCACCAGCCCTTGGAATCGGAAAACACCTTTAATGGACAATGTCAACAAGCTATTGAAGCTAGAGATGCCTTGACGTCGAGGAACTTGAATCAACGTTTGGCATCGGCTAATTTATTCCAAAATAGAGGAAGGGCTGACATTAGATCTAGAAGAGGTTCCAGTGTTACATCTCGTTCTGCTCCATCTACATCAAGTCGTAGTCAGAGCTTTCAGAGATCTGCCTTTGATCGGGCTTCGGATTCAAGAGCGCGCTCTACAAATGTGGCTGTTACTAGAGGCTCATCCTCATCTAGGGGTAGAGGTAGGGGAGGTAGATCTTTTCGTGGATCAAGATCAACTTCCAAGAAAAGTTGACTCAAGTCTCACTGTTCAGCATTCTCTTCCTTACGAATTGGAAATATCCCTCGAAATGATTTTGGATTTGGAATTTGTATGTCCGGTGACACAATCTCCAGTAGGTGGCAGATTGGCCCAATACTTAGACAATTGGAAACTAATAACATCAGACGAGTGGGTCCTGTATGTAGTGAGCAGGGGGTTTATTCTTCCTTGGCACAAGCAACCTTCAGTGACTTGTTTTCCAGAGGGTCGTCGGTTTTGTCTTCAAGGTCAGCGTTTAGTGGGGGCAAACTTAGCAATAAATCAGCTACTGGAGAAATGGGCAATCATAAAACTTTCTCCAGGGGATCAGACATGCAGGTTTTATTCACCGGTATTCCTAGTCCCCAAGAAAGATTTGGACAAAATGCGCATGATAATAGATTTGAAAGTGTTGAACAACCTATTTTTGAGGAAACCGCCAAAGTTCAGGATGGAATCAATTGCAAACCTACGCACCTTGATTCGTCAGGATTCCAAGTTTATAAGTATAGATCTAAAGGATGCGTATCTTCATATATCCCTATTCATCCAAGATCTCGCTAATACCTAAGATTTGCGGTGAACGGTCGCAGGTTTCAGTTCAGGGAGTGCCGTTCGGGATATCTGTAGCACCGTGGTTATTCACAAAATAATCTCCCCGATTCTGGCTTTTCTTCATCAACGAATGATTGCGATACACGGCTATCTGGACGATTTCTTGGCAAGGAATGTGGTGACAGCGGTTCTCATGAAGCAAACCAACTTTATAATCCACGTGTTTACACATCTGGGTCTAATAGTTCATCCTACCAAGTCAGAACTGGTCCCTTCAACAAGAATCAAGTTTCTGGGAGCAATCTTGGACTCAAGAGCAGGCCGTATTTATACTCCTCAGGATCGTTGGGTGGAAATATCAACCAAGATAACCAATATGTTACAGACGCCAACTGCATGTCACTTCTAGGATCTCTCACTTCAATCGAGGATTATACTGTAAGAGGAAAACTAAGGTTGAGAATCCCGAAGATCTGGCTCAACCAGTCTCGGATGGAGGACTTCTAACTGCTCATAGCCTGTCCAGACAGAGTCCGAAGGGAGATATTATGGTGGACGGTGGCCGTGAATGTGTTGCCAGGAGTTTCATTACGTCCTCGTTTACCGAATCTGACACTTTATGCGGATGCCTCGAACATGGGTTGGGGTGCACACATGGACATTTGGCAAATTCAAGGTGTGTGGAATCTGTCAGAGGTGAATCTGCATATAAACTGTCGGGAGATGTTAGCACTGTTGAAAGTGATTCGTTGCTTGGGGAATCGCTTGTATGGGAAGAGTCTCATGTTAGTGTCAGACAATTCTACGGTAGTGGCATACATCAACAAACAGGGAGGTACCAAATCTCAACAGCTCCTCGGGATCACTCAGGATCTGTATCAAGCAGTGGATGCTATAAATTGTATAATCAGAGCGTGCCACATTCCAGGTCGGAAGAATATCCTAGCGGACTCATTATCTCGACAGGACAGAGTGATCTCGACCGAATGGACTCTCAAGGAAGAGGCATTCGATTTGATAGGACAGAAGTGGGAAATTCCAAACATAGATTTATTTGCGACTTCTAGGAATTTTCGGATACCCACGTTTGTGATCCGGATCCATTTGCATGGGCAGTCGACGCCCTATCAATATCATGGGAGGGGATGATAGCCTATGCCAGAGGTTCTGTTAAAAATTCAACAACACGACTGTCTAGTTTATCTAGTGGCACCAGCGTGGCCTGCCAGACCTTGGTTTCCCACCCTACTACAACTATTGGTGGACAAACCTCTACGTCTTCCGTTGTGGCACAATCTCTAATCACCCAAGTCCAACAGACTTCACAAGAATGTCAGGCAACTTGCTACACGTATGGAAGCTATCTCAAGGTCACTCAGGAATCAGGGATTTACGGTTGAAGCTACCAGAGCCATTTCAGAATCCGTTAGACCTTCCACAGCTGCCTTGTACGACGCTAAGTGGCGACTAGAGTGTGGAATCTTGGTTGTACCTGTCAACATTCCAATGATAGCGGATTTTATCTTGTTCCTAAGAGAACAGAAACATTTAAAGCATAATACTATTAAGGGATATCGATCAGCTATTGCTTCAGTCATGGATGTTCAAGGTTTATCTGTGGGCTCGGATACATCGCTTCACAAAATGATCAGATCTTTTCAGATTAAGGATATATCGTCTCCAACGATATTTCCTAAGTTGGATTTAACGTTAGTACTTCAATCTCTTAAAAAATCTCCTTATGAGCCTATGCAGGATGCTTCTCTAAAGTATCTGGCATTTAAGACGGCTTTTCTTTTGGCATTTGCAACAGCTTCCAGAGTGTCGGAATTACATGCTATTGACTTTAAATCCATCACTTTTCGGGGATATAAACAGATAACTTTTAGAACTGTGCCGGAGTTCATTGCTAAGAATCAAACTTCAGCTTGTGGTCCTTTGGGACACAGGATATATCGTATACCTCAGCTTCCTACCTCTACCTCTAGATCGGAAAGGACTAGACTTTTGTGTCCCATACGTGCCTTGCACTGGTACATTCAGTGTATTTTGACGTTTAGACGAAATCGTCGCAGACTGTTTGTTTCATGTAAAACAGACTCGGAGATATCCAAGAATACCATATCTTCATGGCTCAGAAAGACTATATCTTTTGCTTATAGGGATCAGAATCAAGACTTAATTGATCTTAAATTCTCCTCCCATGAAATTAGGGCTTCATCCTTAGCGGCTTGGTCGTCAGTTCCGTTAGAACAAGTTGTGTCTAGTTGTCAATGGAAATCTCCTAATACCCTTATCCAATTTTACCTCAGGGATGTTGCTCCCTCTATTGAAGGTTTACATTCATTAGGACCTTTAGTAGCGGCTCAGCACCTTGCCTCTGCCTGACTGCCCCTTTGGGGTGGGGTGGGGTAGGGGTTTGGTGTTGACCTGGCATCTACATCTTCAGGAAGGATGACGCAGTGAGAGATGGTGCCTGGGACTCTCTGAGGGTCCACTCGGAAGGATGATGGGTGGATACTGGTCAAGGGACAGCATGTAGCAAGACAAGTTGACATGGTAAGAGAATTTACATTTAGATATATCACCTAACCGAGCACAATATGGACAGAGTTCTAACTTCTGAGCTGAGGGCTTCACGTTAGAATATGATTATGAGCTCAAGGTGGTTACCTAAGGTTGAGTTGAACACAAGTATAGTCTAATGATAGTTAACCGGAAGTGACGTCATAGAACCGGAAGTGACGTCATAAGACCGGAAGTGACGTCATAAAACCGGAAGTGACGTCACCCAAAACTAATTAGTATTACATCATAGAGATTGTCTCTAGGAACCGGAAGTGACGTCATTAGACCGGAAGTGGGTCATCAAACAGGAAGTGACATCATAATTACCGGAAGTGACGTCATAAGTTTAAGGAATATTAAGTTTAATGACACAATTCAGGATTCGATTAGAATCATGATATATTCATAGGAATCTAGCATAATCCGGATTTAAGGAGTCAGGAATTATATAATTCCTACTAATACAGATTAGGATAATCATGATATCTATCATATCAACCATAACTATAGTTTGGCATGAAATGCATGTGGACCCGTTTTTTGTAAATATCTCTTCATCCAATGACCCAATCGATCTCAAACTGTGCAAGTGGATGTTTTGTCAGACCGGGTCCACATGCATTTCATGCCAAACTACATAGGAAGTTAGAAGACTCTCCATCTCTGGGAATGTATTCCCTCACTGCTACTGACCAAACTGGACATTTATCTCTGACTAAGTCATAGTTATTCTTAGGAGGTTGAGTAATCATCTCTCAGTTAGTGGTGTAGAGGGTAGTATCTTCCAAGGGTAACCCTCCTTCCTTACTTGGAATTCAGGCTACCATAATCCAGAGGGAATGTTTACGTTATAATTAGGAACAATTACATGTATTGTTAGTAGTTGTTCGTAAACTTACCTCTGGATTATGGGGAGTAGTTCCCACCCTGTGTCCTCCCCGCAAATTTATCCTTAGAAGATGTCATTGATGTGTTGTTTTTTAGAAAAATTATGAAGGGTTCTAGGAGAACAATACAGTGACGTCAGGATCAAGGGAGATAACTCAGGGGTAGATTAGGTATACCACTAGGAATAGCTATGACTTAGTGTTAAAATTTCTTTTGATTTTCTGTATGTATTCTGTGAATCCACAGGAATAAGGTTACCATAATCCAGAGGTAAGTTTACTAACAATTACTAACAATACATGTAATTGTTCCCATTTTACTCATAAATACAAGAGTCATCAGAAGATGAAAAAGACTTGTGACCCCCATAAATCATCTGATTGTTACAGCAAAGCCTACATGACTGATCTGTCTGACTTGATGAGACTATTCATATTTAATCTGTCTGTCCATATAAAAGTAGTTATTGATGTATCAGAACAATATCATGGAACCAGGATTTGGAACTTTGTATTTGTATCCCAGGTTCATTTTTTGCATATATACGAGTCAGTGAATTTCACAATATAATTAAAATTCTGTCCAGAATTAAGAATGCCAAAATGCAATATAGTCAGTGCCTGTGTGTACTGAAGAAAAACATTTGTTTTGGACATGTGCTCTGGAAAAACACATTCCTGCAAATTAAGACAAAGTCAAACTCTGTGAATGCAAAGTTTCATAAATAACACCAAGCAGTTTTCCTGACAAAGTAACACAACAATATGAAAAGTGCTATAGTCAAACTTGTTCCCATGGAAATGGACAAAATATATGTTCTATAAATCCCTAAAAAGCTAAATCATCAGTTGAGAACCTGGTGGTAAGTATGTATGTGTGCAGAGTTTCATGAGAGAATACCTATTAGTTTTAGCGATATGGTCTGGACAAACAAAGTCATGTAAACATTTTATTTCTAAAAATCCCTAAAGCAAAAGGCATCTGCAAACAACCTGGTAATTGTGTGTGCAAGGTTTCATGAAGAATACCAGTCAGTAAGAAACAGGACAAAAAATGAATACAGATGAACAGATGGACAGACAGACTGACAAGCTGATTACAATATATCCCTGTACTACATATTGATGGGAAAAAGTTTTTAGGCAGTCTCCATTACTAGCATTGGTTAGTGTCTACTCAACGGACTATGACAAAAATAAATACCTCATTCTGTGAGCCACAGGACAACTGTTGAGTAAACATATCTTGTGTGCTGACTTGTGAGAACTCTGGCTGAGAATAGGTAAGCTGAGAATGCTGCTGTGAATCAAATGACAGCTCACACGAATCCTGTCGTTCATTGCTGAAACATTGACCACATTACTTGTAATCTTGCATGACCAGTTTGTGCTTTATATCATGATGAAATATCGGCAGCTTTGACATGTTTATCAACTTTATGTACATCCCTTTGCTCCCAATCCATTTAGCTGATATCTTCATTGTATTCCACTGGATAATGTAATGTTTCTATTATCTATGCTATATTGCATGTAAAGTTGATCAATGTGCACATATTAGGTTTACATTACTGCATGCATGTATGTGAGAAAGTATGTGACTGCATGCATTTGCTTTTAACTTAGTTGTGCCATTTTTATTATTAAATATAGAAGGCACACATAGATATCTGGCTTACCTTTGGCGCTACTGTGGAGCACCTGTGCCCCTGAGATGAGGTTGGTATTTATGTTCCAATATTTGTATATGTATGAACATTTTATTTGTTGATATGTATTTTAACTTGTACATTGGAATTGAATCTGATGACTGTTATACCCTAAGAAACAAGACATTTTTTAATTTTGGAAACTAATGCTCAGACATTTAACAACTAATGCTAAATGTGGAAATGTAATTATGTGTTTGTTTAATTATAGATACTTGTAACTGTATGCTGGCAAAGTAACCTTACTATATCATATTTTGGGTATTATCAACATTTCTACTGTGTGGTATCATCATATCCATGATATGACAGACAATCAATCTAATGAACCTAGGTATTCGTCATTACTCATCTCTAGATTCAATACCTTTGTTACATCATCAATGATGCAGCTGTCTGCCAGTTTGCCAACTCCATCTTGGAGCGATTCTGTCGGTGGTTACTTTTAATTCCTTTCAACAATGGCAATAATTCAATTGCTTGAGGCTAACTGTTCAGTATATGTTTCGCTTGATGACAATGTGAGACTTTTCTTTAATAATGTTAGCCTTATGTTATGATCTCAAAAGACTGTAAGTTCAGTTTATGTCTTGTATTGGTTTGCCTATATATCCAATAATCCTAGGAGCACTGGGGAAGCCTAATGGTTCAAGCATTCACTAGTCACACCGAAGACCTGAGTTCAATTCCCCACATGGGTATCTGAAGCCAATTGCTGGAATAATGCTAACAGTAGCAAAAAACCTTACTCACTCGTTCATCACCAAAAATAACCTTCAGATTACGCAAAGAGAATCTTGTCTTTGATATTACCTGAAACTGTCTGACAATAATTCCCTTGTTGACACAACATTTCGAAACATTCTGAACAGCAGTAGATTTTGGTGGTGTCTGAATAGAAATACAAGTAAAATTATTAAATGAGCAAACAGATAGATGAACAAATCATTCAATATACATAACTGATTATTCAATCTTGCCTTGCCTGCTGGCATCACACACCATCTCACATTTGTACAGTTGTTGGCCATAAGTGAGTCATCATTAGTGAAATTTCCATAGACTTACATGTAAATTAACTGTTTCAAGAATAATTTTCATAAATTGAATAGAAGTCATTTTATTTTGATATTTTGCAAACATCTTGGAAATCATCTTCAGCTACGTGTACACAATTTTCTTTCATCTTTCCATTGATTAGTTATCGAATGACACCTGATTAAATATCATTTATAAGTACAACTTTTAATCTATCCCATAGACAGCCATGTTAAACCTGATTGGTATGTCTAATATATGGTGTTTAAATAGTTGCAGTTTTCTTAATAATCGTCGGAAAATTGAATGGAAAGTATGGGTATGTAGCGGAGATGATTTCCCAGCTGGTAGATAAGTATTGAAAGCAATTCGACCGAAACTAAATTTATGAAAATTTATTTATGCACGTGTATGGGAATTTCACTAATGATGACTCAGTTATGGCCAACAACTGTACTGTACCTACAGTCATGGGCAGTGGGCATTGGTTAAGCAATCGCTCATTCTACCAAAGGCCTGTGTTCAATTCCCATCTTGGGTACAGTGCATGTTCCCTGCCATGAAATTGCTGGAATGTTGCTAAAAACAGTGTAAACCATACTTACCAACAAATAATGAAAACTGCCATATGTATTTTCTTGTTTCTTCACTAAAGAACTACAGAGTTGGGAAACAAACAAACATTCAAAGTACTATACCTCATATGGTAAAGCAGTATGATCTGAGCCCTTTATCCCCCAGTAATGGCAAATATCCTGTCATCATTTAGTTTCAACAGATTTCTTAGATGTGATATAGGATGTACAGTGAGTGTCCAAAATTAGAAATAAAAGAAGTAACATATCGATATATGGGTCCGCATTGCATTGCTTTCTTGATCGACCAGATTCTATTTCACGGGTGCAAAGCATTTTACAGATTACATTTGTAACTTGTCGTGCATGTCAAGTTTAGTTTCTGACTTATTGTAAGTGTTGTTAAGATTAAAAGTGGGTGGAAACGTAGAAATAGTGTGACATGATTTTCGTGAAATCATTTTAATCAAACTACAGGATTGTAGATCCACTTTCTTTTGGATTTTTCTCGATTTCCACGATGATTTGTTACAAATCTTAATAATAGACCTATTATAGTTTTGTGTCCAACGGCAAAACTATTATTTTCAACAAATAGAATTAAGTTAACATCTTCACTAATTACCTCCCAACTACACTTTTCGTCCTCGAGCAGCAGACGACACAAGTTTGACCCGGAAATACTATTTTCGGGCGGAAACATACGGAAATGTCCGAGGAAACGTCAGGTCACGTGACGAAGAGCACCTGTCGGGATTGGCTTTGATGTGGCCACCTGACCAGGTAAATTGCGTGTATTTACATACGAAGGGGTTGACTAGCTACCGTAAACAACGGATTGTTTATTCCGCCATTGCTTGGTGGTTCTTGGTTACCCCCATGCTGGTTGAGCTGGGAATCTGAAATAAAGTTTTATGAAGTCGCAATGAACTGACGGATAGTAATCAGAGATTTAAGATGGCAAGCGAAATTGCTGGAAGTTGGGTAAGAATTTTAAAATTGAAAACACTTGATATTGATTATTGTGATCTTTTTCAATACGCATAAACGATTTACCAAAGCAGGTGGAGTAACTGACCGGAAAAAACTTATATTACTAATATATATGAACTAGTGTTCAACTATCTCTTGTTGCCACTGTGCAGTCTAGTTGAGAGTTAGGACTTGACAACAGTGTCACGATATATGCACAATATGACATGAGAAAAACGTATGAATAATTTTATGCAAAATTAAAAAAAAGTAAGAACATTAAATATTTCTTTGTTATATGTTGTTATTTTGTAAGGGCTCTGGTTTCCATGTCCATTTATGGTGCAAAAATAACAAATAATGTTGAGAAGTTTAAGATTGTATTTGAGAATATGCACATATGCCAAAAAGATGAATGCATATTTAGACATGTTATGTAATTTTTAATTGTCAGATGAAAAGAATCTTTTCACATTTTTCATCTTGCAGAAATGCTTGGCTCAGCCTCTTAGAATAAACAATTACATGGTTAAACGTAAAAAAAAATCCCATTGTGATGTCACACCATTAGTTCATGCATGATTCAGTTCTCAAACTAAAACATAATATTAAGCTTTAGGGTTATGGGCTACTGCTTGCTTCAGAATTGTCAACATTCCATCTCTTTAAGATCAGACATAGTGTTCCTTGCAGACATTCTAACAGCAGAACTTCAAGAATCTAAGAACCTGGTCTGTTGGCCACAAGAGATCACTGTTTACACAATGTTTACACTAGTCCACTATGGTAATGGGAAACAACTACAGGGAAATGATCATTCACTCAGACTTGCTTTACTGCACTAAATGTTACAGCAATAAATCATAAGGAATGGGATGAGTTGTAGTTTGGTTGAGAGTTGCGGTCCACAGGTAGATTATGCCAGCAAATGAGAAATACACATACTTTTAGATCTTCTCTGTCACAAAACACTCAGACACTGTGGTAGTTTTATGAAAAGAACTTATGTCAAATTATTGCTAAGAAATTTAGGCAGTGATACACAGCTTGTGTAAAGTCTGTACAGAAACAACATACCATAACACATGATCTATTTTTCAGTAGATGCTTTCTTATGTTGATCTTATAATTTTCCAGTTTCCCTCTGGCTATTATGGGCATTTTCGCAGTAAATCAAGGAATGACTTTGTGTGTGAATATCGCCAGTTAGCCAAACCACAGCCACCAGAAAAGTTCTACAAGAGAGCAAAGGTAACAGTTTGGAGTAATTAACAAGTAGTACATGTATTGTTATTGTTCAACTGATTCCAATACCTCTTAAATAGACATGTTGTCAGTGAACATTAAAATTATATTTTAGCTGTTCAAACTCCTCTGAACATTCAATCTGCTTAATCATGATAGCTAACAAGAATACTACCATGACTTCAGTAAATACTGGATTGTGATTGGTTAATTAAAGTCATTTAAAGGTATATAGCCATTTTATATACCTTGGATTTTCCAACATAGTATGTATTTTTTATAAATCCTAATAAGGTAGTTATGGTAGAATGGAGATACTGTTTTGGAAAATCAGAGGCATATGATGAAATTATGTTAGCTAATATAATTTTGTTATATACCTCTGATTTAATAATAGCCATTTCTGTTGAAATACTCCCTCATTTGAAATAAAAAGTATGATACGTAATATTCATCATACAGTGATAAGTAAGTTGCAGTATTCCCAGGCTTTGAAGTTAGTGCTGTCAAACTTTGCAAGGAATAAGATGGAACTTAGCTGTAGCTCCTAGGCTAGTGGCTGCTCACCAACTTGGACCACTCTGTGGCCTAGTGGACTGAACATCTGCCTCCACTACCAAGACACACTTGTGCACAGACCTAAGCATGCTGTGTCAACACATTTTGCAGGAATTATTTGCGGTAGAATAGTCAGAAATGGTTCTGCATCTGGATTGTTTGACAAAGATCATGCATAAACTCATATTTGTGAACACATAGCAGTGGGAGAATATTTATGAGCAAGTGCATGTTAAGATGTTAGACATATTTTGACAACAATTCCTTTGGTTCCTAAAGCTTGTTTGCGAAGCAGGTATCAAGACGGATCTATATTAATCCAGATCTCTAACATGGCAATATACTGACTCTGCCTCAGGCCCATGACAACTAAGCTGTGTACGTCTTTCAGTTGACAGTAATGTTTCAAGCATGTTTAGCAGGGAATATGCTTATGATAGTAATTCTGTTAAGCTCTGGGAAATCCAACAATTTGTCAAAATAATCCTTTTCATGTGACTGGTCAATACATCTTCATTCTCACAAGCTTCTACAAGTGATCAGATTCTGTGTGCCACTTTTTCCCCAATAGTGAAATCAAACCATTGTTAGCAGCTCTATACAACTGTGGAGCTGTTCAACATGATCTATGGCAATCAATACATCTATTGATCTGCCTTGTATTCTATAGTGCTAGTCCAGAGTTTTCTACCATGCTGTTATTCCATGTTTGGGCCTTGTGTGACCCCTTTCTCAAAGAGGAGTAAATGTTTTTCTTTGTCCTGTTTTCGTTAGATTCAGAGAGTCATATTAAAGAGAAATTTATGATCCTTGTCCAATGTTCGTGGCATGTATGGTGCATAGTGTTCTATAGTGTTTAGTTAGTTCAACAAATATGTCACTGTTATGGGGTTCCAGTAGAGTTTACAGTGGGTCCTCACGTCCAGGCTGTGAATTGGGTAGCCTGTGTAATGGACTTTCAATGTAGATGACAACTAGACACAGTGTAGACTACACATGTTGCTGTACTCCTTCAAACCAATTGTGTTGTAGGCAGCTCAATCTTTGTGGGTGACATTGTAATTTGTATGTCATTTAGAGTTATCATTTTGAACCCTTGAAATGTACTTAAGTGTTAAACAATTCCTTACTTCTGCATGTACAAGTGGATCTATGTATTTTTGGTAATAATAATGTTGAAGATGTACACAGAAACATCTCACATTTTATAGAAAATTTGATCAGTGGGAAGACTAATGTGGTATTTTAGCTTGTGAGATAATTGAAATAAATGAAAATCATGATGAAAAAAATAGCAGTCTGGCTATTATGAATACCAGGGCTGGGATGGGTAACCCAGATACCCGGGACAGGCGGGTAACGAGTTGGACCCGGGTATCCGCCTCAATACCTGGACCTGTTATGATCATGTCACTAATAGATTAAACAATGTAATATATTATTCTTTCATGATTAAAAGGTTGTATTGTCTTTGAAGATTTAGACATAATTTACAGTCACCTGTTTTGAATTTAATACATGGTTAAGATATTGAAAAACTGGAAATTTTAGCCTCCGAGCTGAAGAATATATTGCCATTTCTTACAAATTTGATGTCAGGAATTAACATAACGGGTATCAGGGTAAGGTAGGATAGTAGGGTGTGGGTATTTTGGCGACGGGGTAGTACACTTATACAAGAAATGAGGGGGGAAAAATTTAGAAATTTTGAAAGAGTGGTGTTACTACCCAAAAAAACCCCTCAACAACTGAGTATTAAGGGAAATTTGAAAAAGGTAAAAAGAAATATGAAATAGGTAGAGAGTATTAGAGATTTTTGTACAAAATCTACTGTCAAAACGATATCTCCTAGGAGATATTGTCTGATCTCACACAAGCGATATCTACTGTGGAACACAGTTTTGGGATGATAAATCCATGTCTCCTTGTAAAGACAGAGAATTCTCAGAATGAATAAACCAACCAACACTTGTCATTTTTTAAACTTCTGTAGGCAGAGTGGGAAGACACCATAGAACAGGTCAGTTCATTAACCAAGTAACTGGTCAAGTTCATTTTAGCAGGGGTAGAACAGGTCAGAGCGGTGTATTCGCTTCCTGATCACTGGACCCTATCATGTTGTTTTAACCTGTAGGCAGTATGGGTACATCGGTAGAAAATTTGGACCTGTCTCAGCCCTAATAAATACAATATAACACATTTCAGGATATTTTGTTTATAAGTGTCAGTAAGGATATTTGAATTATCTGTGGTTGAAGTATAACATATTTCAGATGATCGTCGTCCCTGGCCATGCTAAGAATGTTTTAAGTCGCTGTCCTCAGCGTAATCCCAACGTATTGATTAATGACTTTCATATAACTTGAGTGCTCTTTTCTATGCTAGTAGTTGCAACATGAATACGTTAAAGCTGCCCAGGGAAACATGAGCACACCGTGTCATACCAAATCTATTTACTTATGAGGCATACTTCTATTGGACATGTCTGATATGGCTTTGATAATTACAAGTGATTAATTGTTGATATAATCATGAAATTACCTGTTAAAAGTATAAACCTAACAAAGTTTTATGCATCGCTCTGACTTGTTGAATTGCGGCTTGACATGCAATGAATGTACAATGGAGTACCTTTGAAACTGAACATTTGAAATTGAATCGTGTGAAGGTTCTGAAATTACTGCTACACACAAAAGCATGTTTGGAATTAGATAAGTTCCTGGTGAATTGGTTTTCAATTTGGCGTCATAACCACTGTGTACTTTACATGACGTACAGTATTTGATAAAAGGTGCAGTATCAACATGATCAGATATCCGTGTTTTTCATGTTTTGTATTGAATTTGATATCGAGAAAATAATTCTTGATTCTTACCATGCATGCCATGTGCAGATGTTAAGGGAAAGTGATATAAACAGACATGTCAACTACAGTTTTTGGTTTTTCAATGCAATTAGATTTTGTATCCGCTATAATATAGATGAATGGGTTGTTGTTTGCACAGGTACTACAAATGTGTACCCCAGTTACTTTTCTATATATGTACCCAAGCCAAACACAGAATACAGAAACATACCCTATGATGAGTCCATTCCGCATTGTGACGTTATCTTCATCCGAACTGTCATACTGTTATGTCAGATGCATTTGATTGCGTTATGTAAGAAACGACCATACACAATAACAAATATTTTGCGATGCAGAAGACCACTCACAATCATTTGAGCGGGAACAACTACATATGGTTTCGGTTTTGGTTTTTCCGAATATGGACTTGTCCCTCGTTTTGGGTACAACGTAGGTTTCTGTATTTTTACTTTATTTAGGGTACAGAAACCTACCTGGGGTACATATCTGTAGTACCCATGCTGATGACGATCCTTTCAGCTATAGAATCTGTTTTCAGAGTGAGCGTTGAAATTCTTCCTTTGTGTGGACTTGTTTTCAATTTTGAAAAACTTCTTTTCAGCAACCTATTACCAGACATGTGTTCTCCCACCATGACAACCGGCACTCCTTCCTCAACAACGCTCTCTACTTTGAAGAGGTGAGGACAAATCAAAGTGCATGTACAAATAAAGTGTAAATGTCATGTTAAATCCCAGCCCAAGCAGTATGCAAATAAAGTGTAAATGTCATATTAAATCCCAGTCCAAGCAGTAGGCAAATATTTTTATGAAAATGTAAATGTCATGTTAAATCTCAGTCCAAGCAGTATACAAATAAAGTGTAAATGTCATATTAAATCCGGGTCCAAGTAGTATGCAAATATTTTTATTAAAGTGTGAATGTCATGTTCAATCCCAGTCCAAGCAGTATGCAAATAAAGTGTAAATTTTTCATGTCATTTTGAAGTTCAGCAGTATTGAATCCAGTTTTCATTGCTTGGTTGAAATGTTTTAGCTTACAGATTACAGTTAATGTGGGTGTTATAGCAATGTAGCCCTATGTACATACTATTGACACTGGGTATCAGCGTATCAATTGTACAAATGTTGTTTTAATTCCAAGTGTATTGTTTAATGAAAACTTGGAAGGTTGGTGAGATTGTACAATCTCAGTTCACAACTGCCAGTTCTGAACACAGAAGTAAATATAGTCTTGATTTAATGTTAAATTTATTGTACCCTATCACACATTTACTGTCCCATATCAGTTTCTATGAAGCATATCATATTTCCCAGATTAAACACCAAACCTCAAATAAACACTGTGGTCTCGATTAGACACTTGGAATCGTGTATGTATGGAGCTCACCCTGTTGTTATCTTTGCAATTAAGATGTTGAACTGAGGAAAAACGATAACCAAACTTTATCACACAACCTTCCAAATGGCACCAAATTTTACTAAGGTAGCTATCAAGACCCCCCGGGCTGCTTCTGAAGTATAGGGAGTCCGAAGTGGCTAAATGTATGTCAATGAGATCTAAGATTGGTTTCTCTGTGTATGTGTCATGGTATTGCAGTTTGAGGTGAGATATATGCTCATCCATGCTTTTGCTGAATTTATAACAATTGTCTACATGTGAAATGACATATATCAATAATGACTTTCTTTGTAATGATAAAGGGACTACAATCTTTGGTATGTCAAAACTTAAGCCATAATATGCTTGTAGATATTTGCAGATATTTGCTTTCTTTGTTTTTATATTTTTTTTACAATTTCTTTATTTGGAGATGTGTATATTTTATATTATATATATATATATATTTCCTTATCTTGACTCATGCTTAATTGCTTGTCTTCTTCTTCTTGCGAACTATAGTGGAACACTTGAATCCCCTTTTGAAGCTCCCTTAAAAAAAGTGGACGTAAAATCACTCACCCCAGTTGCCTCCCTTGTGCCCATCTTTTGGCACGAAAAAGGTCACATGATCGGCCATGCTTGTCACTCTCTCCTTCGCCCTAGTGGACGGTTGTGAGAGAGCCTGGGTCCCCATTACGGCATATATCCTTTCAGCTTTTAGACTTTTATACTAAATTAGCTGTATGAGGGCTTTATCAAGGATTTACCAACAATATGGTTTGAAATTTATTCTAAATTTGTCCATTTTCCACGTTGTTGACAACATGTCTCAACTTGTTTACATTTCGTGAAGACTTGCATTTCTTGCAGGTTTCGATTGTCGGCTGCTGATCCGCATTTACTATGTCCTAACTGGACTTCTATATGTTCTTCCAGCCTCCGCTGTAATCTTTGTCAGCATTTATCTCAGATTGAATTTTGTAATTATTTATATTCTGTTCATAGACATGCCAAGGACAAATTGAGACGGCAGTTATTAGTCATGTCTCAACAGGGTGAATGCATTAATAACCGTGGGTTGTTGTCTGTCGAGGTACATCATTCCAGTGTGCTGCCGGTGACGTCTGCAGAGCAGAGAAATGAGGGATCCGGCCTTAGGAAAAGATCGTCTTCGACTCAGCAATCCTCGTCGCAGTCCAAGAAGACCAGGACGCCGTCTGCTGCGAAGACTAAGTCGTCTTCAGACAAGTCTACAGTCAAGTCGTCTTCAGACAAGTCTACAGTCAAGTTGTCTATGGGGGCAGCGAAGAAGTCGAGGTCCTTCGCCGCAGATATCAACCCATCGGATGAAGCAGACGTTTACGATGAGCCGCCGATCCTCATCCCTGAAGTACCGGCGAGGCAGAAGACAAGGTCTTCTTCTACACTGACGTCTGCAACTATATCAACGCAGTCAGACGGCCTATCTGCGCAGACTGCAACTACCAGAGAGGACAGGCAGTCCTTAGATGACACCTCAGCACTGTCAGATGTGGCGTCATCTGTACAACAACAGCAGTTATCAGCGCATACCTTCAACCCGGGCATCTTTATGCAGCAGTTTACCCAGCAGATGATGGACCTGATGGAACGTAGGTTCGCTCAGGAGAAGACTGCAGAGAAGCAGACGAGTCTGCAAGGAGGACAAACATCGTCTACACCTCAGCGGGATGAAGGAACGCAACCTGCGTGAAGGGGAACGCCCAGGATGACAGCAACTCTCGTGACGAATCTCGCGAAGGCATTCACAGAAGGACCACTGGTGAAGACACTCATGGAAACAACAGCCGAGACAACACCTGCGAAGGCATTCGCGAAGGAAGCAACAATTATGAAGGAACTCCTGCTACAGACGAGGAGCATTCGCAAAGGCATCGCAGATCATCTTCATCCTCGGACTCAGACAATCACCAGAGGTCTACGCGTACACCACGCAGAAGAAATTATTCACGAAGGCATACAACTTACAGAGACAGGTCACCATCGCACAAATCCTCGGCAAGGTCTTCATGGTCGTCACCACGCAGATACAGATCACCTAGTACATCTCCAATAAGGCACTCACGAGTGCCTTCGCGCAGGCTTACACATAGATCTCCACCTAGAGATCAGGACCAACGGCAACGATCTTCGGAACGAGACACATCGAAACCAGAAGATGATGGAGGAGTCATCTTCTCCGATACAGAGATCAAATCATGGATGGCTAATGGTCTGGAGCTTGCATCACCATCTAAAGAGAATAATGAAGCTTACACGTACATGATGTCTAACGACGATTTTGACACGCTAACACTGCCACCCATAGATCCGGTACTGGACGTCCCAGACAACCTCAGCTCAGCCTTCAAGAAGGCAACGAAGTATCAGAGTCAGAGCATTCCACCGTTTAATGCCAAGAGATTTTCTCTACATCATATGGAACCATTCATGAAGGCCCCAGAAGTAGATGAAAACTATAAACTCATCAATGACGCTCGCATCAGGACTTATAAAGTGGAGGACAAGAAGCTAGTGCAACTAGACACAACCACTAGACGTACCTTCTTCGGTTTAGCCAGATCAAGGTCCATCAACGAAACCCTAATTGCGAAGTTTGCAAACTCTACATCTGAAGAAGATCGGATGATCTACTCAGCCTTACTGACCCAAAGGAAAGACCAACAGTTCATGTCAGAACACCTAGCGTCTACATCGGCGGGATTAACACTGCTACGAAGACAAGGTCTACTATCATCTTGTAAATGGAGTGAGAAGTTCACCAAACCACTATTCAGAGCTCCATGGGCAGCAACGAATATCTTCGCAGGAGAAATTGAGGACGTGGCTAAAGAAGTTAAAAAGGAGTCCAGAGAAGCTATGATGATCAAGTCCAGCGATACACTGGCCAGCGTTATCAGACAGACATCACAGCGCTACTCTGGCAAATCTAAATTTGCAGGGATTCAGAGAGCTAGAGACAAGAAATATGGCACTTCCGAGGGATATAAGGATTCTTTTTGTCGCCCCACCGGAGCTCCTAGAGGTAACCCCGGAAGAGGAAGAGGATTCAGAGGTGCCAGGAACTTTAGACGTTCATGGACAGGGTCGGAACGACTGGAGTCTTCCACCCCCAGCCGATCCCATACAACCCTCACCAGTGGGTGGACGTCTTCAACTTTACTGGAAGAATTGGGGAATTCTACAAGACGATTATGTATCCCAGATACTACACAGAGGTTACAAGATAGAACTGCAAGCGGTTCCACCTTTAACAAGCACTCCTCAGCGGTTGCCACCGATCAGAAGGAGAAACTACTCAGATGCCATTACAACTCTATGACAAGAAGGCAATCGAAGAAAGGAAAATCGTCACACCAGGTTTCTACTCCCCAATTTTTCTGGTTCCAAAGAAAAATTCCAAGGAAAAGTTCCGCCTGATTTACAACATGAAAAAGTTCAACCAGGATTATCTAAGAAAGCCCGCAAGATTCAAAATGGTACATCTTCCACAACTCAGACAGATTATCCGTCCGTCAGATTATCTAGCCAGCATAGATCTACACATGGATCTTCACATCCCAATACATCAGGACTCAAGGAAATACCTACGATTCCTGTTCAACGGACGTCACTACCAGTGGAGGGTACTACCGTTTGGAATATCGTCGGCCCCTGGTTGTTTACTCGAGTGACAAAGCCCATCGTCAGTTACCTACATCATCAAGGTCTACGCAGTGCGTTTTACCTTAGACGACGGGATTCAAGCTCATCAAGATCCCAATCTACTCAGACGGCAACTGACGTTTACGATCAAGCTACTCACTCAACTAGGATGGTTAGTAAATCATCTCAAATCGGAATTAGAGCCTACACAGGATCTACAGTTCCTAGGAATACGAATCGTCACTTCAACAAATCGTCTATTAGTCCCGGAGGACCTTTGGATCAAGATACAACAGATGATATCACAAACACTACTCTCTCCACTACCACTACGAGAGTGGCAGAGTCTACTCGGTCTCCTCACGTCAGCGCAAGACATGACACGCAGAGGCAGATTACTTTTGCGCCCACTACAAGTGTTTGTGAACGATCATCTAGACAGTCTCGATCCATTCGTCCTACCGAACGAACTGAAACCATACCTATTATGGTGGACACAGAAGTCGAATGTCTGCGCAGGAACCTACTTAGCAGAGCCGGGATCCAACACTCATCTCTACGCAGATGCGTCCCACCAAGGATGGGGAGCTCACTTAAACAACAAAGTGGCATCGGGAAAGTGGTCGAATCAGGAGCAAAAGCTACACATCAACATGCTAGAGTTGAAAGCAGTCATAAACGCCTTACTACACTGGTCCAGCATACTAAGGAATGCTCAACTGATGATCCATACGGACAACTCCACAGTGGCGTTCTACATCAACAAACAAGGGTCAACAAGGTCAAGGAGCATGTTGGACCTCAGCTTTCAACTATTCAGCATAGTAGACAACCTGAACATCGACATAAAAGCGTCACACATTCCCGGAGCCAGAAATGTGATAGCAGACGCCCTATCCCGTCCTATGAATCCGTCACCGACGGAGTGGATGTTACATCCAGAGGCATTCAAGGACATCATTCGGACAGTAGGATCCCCACTGGTAGATTTGTTCGCAACCAAGTTCAACAAACAACTACCAACATTCGTCTCTCCGGTCCCAGATCCTCAAGCATGGGCAACGGACGCCTTGAGCATATCGTGGGAAGGACTAAACGCGTACGCGTTCCCTCCACCAGCACTAATACCGAAGGTATTACAGAAAATCAAAATGACGAACAAGTTACAACTGATTTTGGTCGCGCCTTACTGGCCAGCGAGAGAGTGGTTCCCCAACCTCATACAAGAAATAGGAAATCCAATCCTACAACTTCCAAAGTGGCCAAATCTACTGATTCATCCACACACCAAGCAAGCACACAGAAACCCAACTATGTTTCAACTACACGCATGGAGCGTATCACGACTTGCTTGAGGAAAAGAGGATATTCCACCAGAGCGGCCAAAGCAGTAACTTTAGCCTTACGTAGATCAACCCGTAACTTGTATGACGACAAGTGTGCAAAGTTTTGAGAAATACACTCGGAATAAAGGCTTCACTGCAATGGAAGCAACACATCCTCAAGTGGCGGAATATCATTGTCATTAGACAGACAAAACGATTGAAGGGATCTACACTCTCTTCATACCTAGCGGCCTTGAGCTCAGTTATCACGATGAAAACGGGTATAAAACTGACCAAAGTACCAGAGATACTGGCACTACTACACTAATTCAAGTTGGAAGACCAACAAAGAAAATTCAAGGCGCCCGCTTGGGATCTCAATGTGGTTCTACAACATCTTACCTGTGAAGATTACGAACCACTAGAAAGGACATCATATGAGAATTTAACTCATAAAACACTGTTCCTCGTAGCCTTAGCTACAGCGGCAAGGATGTCAGAAATTCATGCTCTAGACTTCGAACGAACAAGATTTGACACGCATCGTGACACAGTGCATCTGGGACTAAGATGGGATTTTATAGCAAAGAATCAACTGCCCGGTCAACCAGACAGACAATTCCATATCCCAGCACTTTCATCGATATTAGGACCACAGGATACGCAAGATCGATCCTTATGTCCAGTCAGAGCATTGAAAATATATCTACAGAGATCTAAATTGAGGAGATGAAAATTCAAGCGCCTTTTCATCCCTTTATCTACGGAGACACCTACAGAAGTCTCACGTACAACTATATCAGTATGGATGAGAGCCGTCATATTGAAAGCCTATAAAGCAGCAGGACTTGATCCTCCACGAGCCTCCAATCCTCATGAAGTCAGAGCACTGGCATCCACACTAGCTCTGCATGGAAACTGCTCCATATCAACAATAATGGAGGGCTGCTTTTGGAGATTGGAGACGGTATTTGCCAACAACTACCTCAGAGACATGGCTACAGAGGACGTCTCCGGCATACGCCAGTTTGGGCCCCATGTTGTAGCACAACAATTGACGGTACCTCAAAGACGCTGAGATTACCTCACCCCTTTGTCACGTGACTTGCAAAAGCCAACACTCAGCAGAGTACGGTTTTAAAGTCCATGCGCACGTCTAGGACAGACTAGCATGAGTGATGGACCCGGTACTTGTAAGGACTTACTTGTACATGAAGTAGGGTCACTTCTCCCCTTGATGCAAGCATCAAGAGATGGAGTCGTATAAATCCACACAAAATATCAGGAGAAGATTTCCAGGATAAATCTGACAAGTTGTGGTCCCCCCACACTCATCAGAGGAAGCTGGAAGAAAGGACAAATGCCATTAGAAGTTCCCTAGGGAGGTATAAGGACGTAAATCAGCAGAGAATCCAGAGTGGCTTGACCCACCACCGTTTCCGTCGGATTCTACAAGCAATTAAGCATGAGTCAGGATAAGGAAAAATATGTAATTTTCTGACTAAAATTGATATTTTATACTTATCCTGACTCATGAGGTTAGCCCTCCCAACCTCCCCTCATGGCACTCTGGATTTCCCTGCAATCCAAGTGTCAAGGGGGCTCGCTTCAAAAATAACGGAGAGAGTGAACAAGCATGGCATAAAATATAAATTTTAGTCAGATCATGTGACCCTTTTTACACGCCAAAAGATGTACAAACATCTTAAGCCTGATGTACAAGGGAGGCAACTGGGGTGAGTGATTTTACGTCCACTTTTTTGAAGGGGAGCTTCAAAGGGGATTCAAGTGTTCCACTATAGTTCGCATGGAAAGAAGAAGACAAGCAATTAAGCATGAGTCAGGATAAGTATAAAATATCAATTTTAGTCAGAAAATTACATGCATCATATCCATGAGCCAGGGTTCTCAAGTTGAGTTGAAATACCATTATGTGGCTGATACTGTTCAAAGAGACGTTAAACCAAACTCATGTATTGAATTATCTTGATATATAGAAAGATATCAGAATAGCTGGTTTCTTGTTTTTATTTATTGTTATTTGTTGTTGCTTAAGATGAGTATGCTTTGTAGTTACTATACAGAACTCTGTAAAATACACTCAGAAAAGTTTATTCAGTCAAGTATTATGGCCTAAATGGATAAGGACTAAATATTTTATATGTAAAAATGCAGAATAATAAATAACCTTGCTAACAGCAATCATAAGAAAAGAAAAGAGGTTTAATGCATTAAGTTGTTTGAGAAAGTCCCCCACTTTACAGTGTGCTATTGCATGTTTGGTCATGTGTTGTCCCACACAATGCCTGCAGTATCAGCAAGGTAGTGAAACCAGGCCTCTACTAATCTGGCATGTCTGATAAGGTCTTCTACAGATCTGCTCAGTGCAGCTGAGTGGAACCAAACTGATAAGCTCTTTAAGAATTAAATACCAGCAAAGTAACCTAATCACTGTATTGTTTATATGTCATTGTAAACATGTCCTACAGTAATAGCTGTTGGAATAGTCTGGCTTCATGTTAAGATTGAATGTCTTTGTTACCAGTGGATAAATTACAATAGGGCTTACTTTACTCAACGTGAGTAGTGCCTTAGTTTTATATTTATGCATCAGTGGCAACAAAGTAGACACCAGGCATTATAGTCAAACTTAAACTTAGTCAACTTCTTTTAGTCGCATTTTAGACGTTGGGAAGTACAATATAGACAAACCTTATGGATAACAACTTTTTTATTTCGTGATTGTGACGTTTCTATACAGATTCTTATAACCTCCTTGACAAAGGTACAAGAATCCGTATTGAAACATTGCACTCATGAAATAAAGAAGTTGTTATCCATAAAGTTTGTCTATTTTAAACTTAGTTCCTTAAGATATCAGTTTCAACATGAAGTGTTAGTGCTTCTTCCAAACATGCTGTGATATAACTGGAATACTGTTAAGCGTGTCGTGAAGCCCGTCGTGAAGCCCATCTCACTGATTTAACCTTTAATCCATGTTATTACACCTGATGTATGTGTGTTATTTCAACTTTCATTCCATATTTAATTTCATTGTCATCTAGGGCGGTGGGGTAGCCTAGTGGGAAAAGTGTTTGCTGGTCATGCTGAGGCCTTGGGTTCGATTCCCCATATGGGTATATACACAATGTGTCCCCCACTCACTCATTGTCATCCCGTGTTATTTCACCTTTCATCCTTCATGTGTATTATTTCATCTCTCACCTCTATCTGTGTTATTTCTACTTTCCAGGGTCTTGGCAGGAAGCGTGTCACAAACAGTACCTACAATTTCAAACCAGAGTTTATATCATGGATGCCTGAACGGGAATATGTAGCCAGGATGCGACCACTAGCCTCCACATACAAGATAGACTTTATGCCAGAAAGACAAAGTCATCAGTTGATAGTAAAAAGACCTCAGACCTCATTTGAAGGCGTTGCTACAACAACTTATAGATATGCCCATGGAAACGAGTCACCAAATAGGGACTGCATAAATGCTATGAACAATCAAGCATTAATGTTGTCAACACATTCAAAGCGTCTGAGGTCAAAGTCTGCTCGGCCACAAGTGCGAGAAACTGTTGCTTCATGTTTAAGTTGGCATGTGCCTCGCCCACCCAGTAAACCTCAGATTCCTGCGGCAACTGAACTGGTGGATTGCACAGAACCCTTGGTAGGAGCAGAGAGTACACAAGGTCTGTCCCCACCTGATCAAACATCCCAGGACATGGTGCCTCAGTCACAGCCACCATCATCCCTAGTGCAAGACCCGGTCCTGTCAGAGTGAGGTTTTCTACATGGGCTCAGTTTTCTTCAAATACTAAAGTGGCTTATGCCCTCATCTTGAAAAAAAGTACCCAAACCAATATTATTTCAGGTAGTGCAAACTCAGTTGATATCAAATCAGTGAAGAATAGAAAGGTGACAAGCCTTGTTGAGTAGTGGCAGTTACATCCGAGGACATTCTTTGTGATAGCAGAGTGGTGATTAATATTCCAGATCGACTGGTATAACCACAGAAAATACATATGTGTTATTCATGTTATTTGGCCAGATTTATCTGCATCTACAGCTTTCCTTGGCTCTTGTGTCAAAATGCAGGAGTAAAGATGAAGATTTTACATTTTGCTTGCTCATAATTCTTAATGGAAACTTAATAATAGAATTGGATCATTCTGATCAGCTGGTTGTATTAGTTTCCTTGGTCACATTATCTCTATTTTTGTTAACTGCAAAGAACAAATGTAGTTTGGCCTCACTTACTGTTATGTAATGTTTGTATATACTGTAAATGTATACTTATAGATGTAATATGTATATTGGATGTATATGATACAAACTGTAGTCACTTTGTGACTGTGTCTGTGATAACGGTGTAAATATATATATCTGCTGTTCTGCTATACCTGTAACAATATAATATACACTGTTCTGCTATACCTGTATGTACATGTACCACAGGATTGACTGCATGTTATGAAAGGATGAACCCCATTATGAAGCTGCTCCAGCATTATCCCTCAACACCGGTTACCTCGTGTATCAATGAGAATTGTTGCACCTACAGCAGTATAAGTCAGCACTGTTCCCACGGAGCAGTGTTTTACTGTTAGTATTACCTCATAGGAATCTCAACTGGTGCCTCATACAACATATGGGAGTGCTCAGCAAATAGGCCTCGCTCCATCTGCAAGTGATGTGGAAATGAACAGAGTGTCTGACACTGTGTTAATGTACATGTGAGGTGTTGGGGTGTAAAGGTAAGCATTGTACTTTGTCACATGTTCATTTTGATAATTACAATTTAAGCTTGCGACACAAAAGCCATTTCAAGAAAACAAGTGTTTCAGTGTCCATATAGTAAAGGTTTTTAGAGTTCAGTGTCACACAACAATATGTAAATTTTGTGCTGTGTTATCTTGATTCTTCAAGGGTTATAGAAATATTCCATTTGTAAAACATCATGAACAGGTTACAACAAAGCTGTGTTTGTCTTCACAGCTCATCTTGGAAATGCTGTGACCATGTTAAATGTAATGTTCTATGTCATTGTAAAGGCTGTAGGTGGCATAACTAGAATGTCTGATTACTTCCATTAGTGTAGATCGTTACATGTATCCTCTGTCAAAGCACAACTGTGATGTATTCAGATGAACACTTAACACAATCTGATCAATGTGAAGTTTGATAGAAATTCATACCTTGGATTACTTGTATTCAGTAAGAATCAATATCTTTAGTATGTTTGAAGAATTATTTCAAATATGCACTATTTCTGTTAAAAAGCACAAAACATAATACAAGCTGACTGTCTATCCAGTCGTTCCTGACAGTGTTATGTTTAAACCATGTACACTTGGTCGTGTCTTATCAGTTATACCAAAGGAAACTCCTTACAGTGTTATGTTCTATCCTCATGATTGTAACACATCAGATGATGTTATAGGTGGTGTGTGGTAAATAATGTTTTCAGTCATGCACTGCACTGAAAATGTCCATTAAGACATTCAGTTTTCTGATGTCATATCAAAGGTTTAAGCAGTACATTTGCATGTCTTTTGTCAGAATCATTAAGAATACACCTACATTCATTGAAAAATAGGGTACATCTACAGAATACTGGATACCTACGAGCGATATTGTTTAGTGTCATGTCACCCTAACCCTAAACCTTACCCAACTTGCATGCTTTCAAAGATTGCAGAAGGTATCCAGTATTCTGTAGTCTTCCCAAAAATAGCACAGAATTTGAGTTGCAGTTGGTATATGACAAATACCAAGAGTTCCATGAGGAATATAAGAGTATCTTACTTGTTAGTACAATGAGCCTATCAGAATCCAACATTCACACATAAGGTCTGACACCTTGTCATTTCATATCACATGTAAATGATCTTAATCATAAATAATGCTATACAACAGTATTTTGTATTTAGTTTCATAATACATTGGCAAAATAGCAGGTGAGGGTATTTCTACAATGTCTGTCTGAATGGATCAATAAAGACGCCTAATGACTTGTGTTTATATCTTAATGGTGTATTTTCATTTGTAAAGTATTTAACAAATGCATGATGTGTTTGTGTATAAGCTGTGCAGGTTATATCAGGATGCTCCCATTATCAGCGCTGGTTGGTGAGCTATGAAGTTTTGTGATTGCTGAAAAACCTAGATTACCTTCAGTTTATGCAGGAGCACTACCAAGGAACAACACTGACAGCAACACAGGGACAGTTTATTTCTACTCATCTGTAAACATCAATACAGTTCTATATTTGCTTCATATAGTATAGCAACAAATTGTACTGGTTTCAAAGTCTGGCACAGTCAATCTGCTTCCTTCAACCAAGAGACCTAACAGCCACCAGAGTATTGAATACTTGATTAAACACACACAGTCGCACACCACATTCACAATTAGAAAATCCTAAATCCTGTCCCTGTCTTTTGGGGTTCGAACTTTCCTGTACTTCTTCTGTGGCCTGTGAAGATAAACAAGCAGCATACATGAACTGAACACAGACCTTCACTCTCCTGCACAAAATAAGCCGAGTCAATAGATTTAGAAATCTAAAGCCCTTGAGCCTCTTGAGTACAACACCAATCCTGGCAAGCTGGATCAATCCAAATTCAGTAAAAATGAAAATATATCCTATAGAGTTTACATACATTTCATATGTAGCTAAATGTTATGTCTCCTAAATATGGTGGAAATAGCAGGACACTTGAAAATATGAATATGGCACTGTTGTGTTCCTGTAAAAACATACTGGATTATATGAAAAGAAAGAAACTTACTGTGGATACCACCGATGTTTCGATGTGAAGAATATATTGGCAAGCTCCTTGTCAGTTGGGCCATCCTCCCGATGTTTCAGTTTCTCTGACACAAGGTACTGCACCTTAAGCACCGACTCCCCCTACACAGAGGCAACAACATCAGTAATTAAAGCAAGCTAAACCTGTAGAGGTTTCCAATTCTTTGAAAAGAATCGTCCTTGGGGTACATATATGCATTTTCTGCGGCTGAAAATGTCATGTGACAGATGTATCAATGTTTTAATAAAAATATTGTACAATAAATAAAAATCTTTTTTATCTATTATATGGCCCCCACCACATGGAGTTACCTCCCTGCTACTCATGCGCAGCTAACAGGATTGCAGGGAGGTGGGTGGCCCTACCCCAAGGACGATTCTCTTCAAAGAATTGGAAACCTCTACAGGTTTAGCTAATTCTTTTCATAGAGATTGTCCTTGGGGTACATATATGCATTAACTCAGACTCCCAAAGACCAGAGGCTAGGGAGGAGGGAATTTTGTCAAAGTACACATAGATAGCGATCGTTAGGAAGAAATTAACTGACGCCAGAACACTCACTTGTCACGGGTCCTGAAGCTTCCACGAGAGGCATGATGGGAGGGTAACCGACAGGGAGGAAAGTACTGAGACCCGACCTCACAAGTTAAGCAAATCAATTCGCACACAGTGCGAAAGTAAAAACCCACCCAAATCGTGAATCTATTAAAGAGCACTGTAAGGGGGAAAACCAACTCACAACCGACTATAATCTCATGAGAGAAATCGAAAGTAGTTAGATATGACAACAGCGGATATATCAATTATACACAATTGAAAACAGCGTCAACTGTCCAGATAACCAAGACTCACTCGATCAGGGTGGCAGGACACTGTCCAATAGGACTGTTGCAAGCCAGAGTGATAGGGTCTGTTTGCTAGCCGTCATGCCAGCCTTCCAGCCACCGTAACAGCAGAACAGATGGGTACCCGTACGGATCCCTTGATTCGTCCAACGGGTGAGTGCTCGTTGCAGAGGTCCCCGATGTGGAAGGCTGGGTAAGAGTAAGAAGTTCGATAGGAGCTGTCACATGGAAAGCGTGATCAATCTTCGGACGGTAAGTATCCGAGAGGCGAATACTGACACGATCTGGATGGAACAGTCAGTCGCCAACCCTTCGCCCAGATGTTACCGCCACCAGAAATACGGTCTTCCATGTTAACAGCTGAAAGGAAACAGCCGATAGACGTGAGAACGTAGGACCGGACAGCCAATCTAGCATGACTGACAAATCCCAAGGTGGGCTGGTTCGCCTGACAGCAGGTCGAACCCGATCCACGCCAGCTAAAAAGCACTGCATAAGAGGATGCTGCGCCAGAAGAGCACCATCGACAGGGGTGTGGAAAGTGGAAATAGCGGTGGAGTAGCCATGACTGGTCGAAGCCGCCAAGCCTTCTTCCAAACGAGCTTGCAAAAACTCTAAGACTCGGACTAAATCTGCAGAAAAGGGATCTGCAATCCCCTTATCTGAACACCAGCGCGCATAGCGGGACCACCTATCCTCATACTGAATTGCCAGAATTGTGTCTGCAACTGCTGCAGGAATTCTGCGTGCTTCGAGGCTAGACCTGACAGAGGCCAAGCCACCCACTGAATCCTTGGATTGGGGTATGGCGCGGCAATCTGAGTGAGAATGTCTGGTCGCAAAGGTGATAGAACAGGAGGCTGAGCCAGAAACCTGAGAATTACCGGAAACCAGCTCTGTGACGGCCATAGCAGTGCCAGTAGCACAAGTAGCCAAGCTGGCTGGGTGGACAGCTGGGAGAGGACCCGGGGAATGAGTGGTAGAGATGGAAACGCCCACAGCACCTTGCCCGTCCAATCCAGCAGGAAGGCGTCGGAAGCCAATGCCCTCTGGTCTGGTATTCGAGGGCAGAACACGGGTATCTGATTCTCCAGATCCTCCGAGTGAGCTCACAGACTCGCCAAAGCTTGCTGTATAGGGCGCATCCTCAACCGCACACGACAGAGGTAGTTGCTGCCATATGACCCAGTTGACGGAGCCAAGTTCGTGCTGGTGCCTGGGGCTCGGAGAGGAACGAAGATACCATCTCCCGTACTCTGGTGACCCGGTCGGGCGACAAAGAGACAAGGCCCTTGTGAGTTGTGAACCGTGCCCCGAGAAAAACAAGTCCTGGGTGGGTACCAGATCGAATTTCTTGAGGTTTATGATCCACCCCAGTCGAACAAGAATGTCTATCACTGTGTGGGTAGAACCTAGGCTCGCTGGCTGACTTAGAGCGCTGAGCAACCAGTCGTCTAGGTAAGGGTAACAAGGCCTTCCTTGCGACCTTGCGAGGGTAGCCGGCACTAACATTAGCTTGGTTATTAGCCTGGGGGCAGTGAATATGCCGAAGGGGAGCACCGTGAAGTGATAACACATCCCGTTGTAATAGAACTGGAGGTACTGCTTGAACGAGGGATGAATTGGCACATGTAGATATGCATCCTTTAGGTCGATCGACGTAAGCCAATCACCGGGCTGAACAGAGGAGATCACCGAGCGAAGTGTCTCCATCTTGAATGATGCAACCTCTAACATGCGATTCAACCCCTTGAGGTTGAGAATGGGACGGAACCTGCTATCCTCTTTCGGAACGAGGAAGTACGTGGAATAAAACCCCGTCTGTACCTCGCCCGGTGGTATGCGCTCTATTGCGGACTTGTCCTGCAAAGCCTGTACTTCGTCGCGCAGTATACCCGCCTTGACCAAACAGGACGGCACCTGAGTGAGCCTTATGCTAGTGAACTCTGGCGGGCCTTGCTTCCACAGTGGTAGATGGCCGACACTGACGGTGGATAGCACCTAAGTGTTGCTGATAGCCTTCTCCCACTGCGGTAGAGGCGGGCCTCCCACTGGGAAGTGTGGTAAGAGTGCGTGAGTGGTCCCCTGCAGATCAACTGGCTGGGACGGACCCCCTGCGACAGCCTGCAGGTTTAATGGGAGGTCGTGGCAGACCCCCTGCAACCGTGAAAAGGCTGCTGTGAGCCAGACGAAGAGGCCTGCTCCTTGCCCTTACCTTTGGCGGGATGGCTCCTCCTCCTACCTCTACCCAGCGGCCGAAGCCAGCCGGCAGACTCAGGCGTAGACTGCGCCCTGGAGGAAGAACCCGCTATGGGAGCACGGGAGTGAGAAGCTCGCGTTTGCTCCAACAAGGCCTTAGAGTCCTTGAAGGAGGTAGCTGCTGCAGCAGCCTCCCGAATGACCTGCTGTGCCCCCGGAAACATCGCTCAGCTTGCGCATCCCCATGACTGCGGACATCACCGTGGACGCGGCAGACCGTAAAGAGAATCGCGTCAGGTGGGCCTGTACTTCGGATAGTTGGCGGAGAAGAACAACATTCGGGGGAAACGACACCAGTGCTCCCTTCCGCCTCCAGAGTCGACCTTTGTATCGAGGAAAGGTACGCCTCATGGACCACAACCCGCACCTGCTGCATGGCATTCCGGTGGACTTCCTCGTAAGTCTGGTATGCTGGGTGCAGCGGGGAGCCCGCTATGGCAAACGGTGATATTAACCGTCCTTGCTTGGCTGCCTAGGGGCAAACGCCTCACCCGGCAGGCAGAACTCAGTTGAGTCCGAGCAACATGTTGGCACCGCGGCTTGGGGAATATACTCGGCAACACGTTGCCTAATCTCCCGGAGAGCCGACGAAAAAAGGAAAGTACCCACCGACTCCTCGACATCTCCAACCTCCATAGACTCGGCATCGGAGTCAGAATTCGGATCTCCACGGGAAGAGGAGCTGAACCACGACCTGGTGGGCAGCCGAGCCACAGATGCCGCGGGAAGGGAAGAGCCGAAGGAACACTCAGCTCCGGCAACCGACACAACACTCGAACCCCAGGAATCCTCAACGGACCCTGCGTCAACAACGAGATAGGAAGTGGGACTGGGAGCGAACCCTCCCCATCCGGGGTAGCCGAGGCGTCCGGACCCAAAGGCAAAGGATCGACAGACTCCTCCAGGCCAAGGGATCGAGCTGAGCTCGGCGATCCAATCCCCGGACTCTCGGTCCCCCGATCAGAGTGGGCGAGGAACTCCTGCTGGAGACCACCAACCGACTTGTGAACGAGGGACTTCACGGAGTCCATATGCTACTGAAACAATTGTGTGATAAGTGACTTATCAAAACCACTGGAGGGAGATGGAGAGTGCGACTTATGCGAAGTAGACTTAGATTTAGTTTGCTTAGCCTTTTTGGCCTTGGACGGGGGAACCTCCTGGGTCAAGTCCCCTCCCACCTCATGCAATTCCTTGTAAAAAAGGAAGTCAGCCACCCGTCTCTTCTGGGCCCGGGGGGAAAAGCCCATGCACAACTCACAGATGTCAGGGGTATGCCCTGCCTTCTCCAGACAGCTGAAGCATTTATCATGCTTATCTTAGCGGGGGATATTTTGCCCGCAGGCAGCACACCCCGTAAACGCCTGAAAGCAAACGCAAGCATGTAGCTAATGGCGTAACACAACAACATAAATCTACACGTACAAAACATTGGAAATTACGACAACGCGACATGAAATACTTGGTTAATAACCCAATATTTCAACCACGTGGCACGCTAAACTTCCCGCATGGAATATCAACACGTGCGTAAACCACGGGAAAGCTAGTGTAAAAGTTTAATACAAAGTGACATAAATGAGAAATAACAGACTGCAAAGTCCATAAAACGTTTCTCAAAACGAATAAAGACCATACATACAGTAGTCGAAGTCTCAGACATTCTTCCTACAAGAAAGAAATCAGCTAGTAACTCTTGGGTAAACACGTGTGAAGGCTCGAGTGACAGCAGAAGGAATGATGATACAGCTTAGGTGCTTACCTGGTTGGCTGCGCATGCGTAGCAGGGAGGTAACTCCACGTGGTGGGGGCCGTATAATAGATAAAAAAGATTTTTATTTATTGTACAATATTTTTATTAAAACATTGATACAACTGTCACATGACATTTTCAGCCGCAGAAAATGCATATATGTACCCCAAGGACGATCTCTTTGGAAAAGAATAACATGATACACCAGATTTCTACCAAGTGTGCTGCAGGATTAAACCTCTTAAAATCAAGATCAATAACATCCCTGATCTAAACCATTTGAATCCAAGCAAATGAAGTGAAGCAAATGTATCTGCTTCACTCACTCACCATACCGGTAATCCAAGGGCATACATGATCCCCAATTATTAGTTTTAAGAGTTCTTATAGGAAATATGAGGGTAATGTAAATAAAGTAGTGTAGTGCACTGTACTATAAGATATAATAATCATGTTTAGAACAGGAACTATATATTTCTTGTGGAACATTAGTGACTGTGAATAATGTGCATCTCATGGGGGCGAAATAAGTTTTTTCTGCATCCATTATAAACCTTAATGTGTACTGGACGTACATTTCTGTAGTGTGTAAAACCTTAATATACTTTAAAAAGATCAAATATCGTCGACACTTTCTGTGATGTTCAATTAAAGTAGGGTTTTACATGACATTTAAATGTGCGTCCCCTACACACAAGTGTAGAGAATGGATGCAGAAAAACAATTCACTGCATCCAGAGGGATGCAAAATATTATTCACTGTACCCACAACACATCTATGACTTTGCTAAGTGTTTGGTTGTTTCTTTCAGAGCAGTGCATCATTTCATCCATCAGTCCACATGGTCAATGATTCATTCCATGCTCTAAAGAAATTATCAAAAAGTATACTTCTCTTCACGTTACTTCAGAGGACCCTCATATTGCCAGCAAGGACCCTTAAAACTAATAATTGGGGGTCTCCAGAACCCCATGATTGTGAGTCAAGGTTAAACCCTGTAAAGTGTGGAAAAACATGAAAATTATACATATGATCTAACCAGGAATGAATGCTAACCATGCAAACCTGTATGCTATCCATGAAAGCTGTCCAAGTACACTTTAGCCAAAGAAATTAACCTACCTCTGCTAATTCTTCCATCTTTCGTGGAATAGGCTGAAAACAGTAGATAGAAATTGAGTCATAATCATGATAACACTGAGCATTTCCCCGACAACTGAATCATGGACTATTTTGACTTTAGCAAATTAGATGATGTCTCACATACACATCTTTACCTCAGCTATCCTGAAAGTGAAATAAGCGCCCATTTCTGGTGTCCTCTGCCATGCTATTGCTGGAATATTGCTAAAAGCAGCATAAAGCTGCTGAAATTAGCCCTTCTGGTAAAATGATATTACTTCATGTTTGGGAAAACAATTGTCAAGTACAAGACAGTTAAATGACATGCTGGATTGCTTCTAGTTAAAAATATGGGTAAAGCTCATATCAACACTACATCAGGGATTGAAGAAGTGTAAGTGCAACATTAACTGATAATACATGACACAATGTTTCATAACAAGGCCATAGGTGATCTTAAACTATGACAGACATATCGCCAAAATTAGATATAGGATTTGTAAAAATGCATGAAAATACATTTTTGTTTTCAAAGCAGGGCACGATCCTAGAGGAAGCATAGACCAATGTTCATGACACTGAAATGACAGTGAAGAAATCTTCATTCTAACTGGTCAAAATAAATACATGTACAGTCAAATCCCGATGAGTAGAATGCCGGTGTCTCAAACATTATGCATAACTCGAAGTACCTGTCAGTCCCGACCATTCCCTGTTATAGTTGTAATCATTAGAATACCGGTTACAAGAATTCGTTTCATAAATACACACGATGACTCGAGAAGAAAATTTGGTCCCATGAGATTCAAACAACAGCAATCTTGTATACATGTACATTAGCTGAAGTCAGTCAATGAGAAGTTGATTGGTGTAGCAAACTGATCCAATTAACAAACCAGCGTGGTTCACACCTTTCCGCCTTTGACGGGTGAGTTCAAAAGGCAGATTAGTGATTTTACGGAAATCACTGTCTGTGCTAATCGGACTGGAACTGATAAGGTGCCCCTATTAGTGATAGGGAAATCATTAGATAAACAAATGCTTATGCGGAGGAATTTGGACTGGATCATCTTTTTTCTACCCTCATAGATATACCTATGTCTCGAATACATCGATAAGTCGAATTTATTACTTGGTCCCCAGAGATTCGACTCATCGGGATTTGACTGTATAAGATATAATAGTATAGCTAACTCTGTTTGAAACCTCAAAACTGCCTCTTCATATGAAAACCTTGTGTGTAACATCACTGATCTGTTGATAAATGTAGCTCCCAACAACACACTAGAATTGCATACATTTGGAATTCAGTAACTAAGTACTTAACCACAAGTATTTTTATGGTTCTCATTTCATGACCTTGACCTCTAACCTTTTCATGACACAAGCCTCCAACATGTATTCATAAAATGTAATCTTGTACAGGAATTTTGGAGAAAGGTTGAACACTTTATTAATCCCACGCATTGTGATGTTCCCATTTCTGATCAGACATTCTCTTTTGCAACAGTTCAGCTAGTCTACTAGCAACACACATTATCCTGTTGGCCAAAACATAAAAATGAAATTTTTAGAGTAAAATTAATATTTTATACTTATCCTGACTCATGTTTATTGCTTGTCTTCTTCTTCTTGCGAACATAGTGGAACACGTGTATCTCCCAATTGAAGTTCCCTTCAATTAAAAAATCACTAATTAGTACTCACGAGTTACCTCCCTTCCACAAGCGCGGGAACGAGGGCGCCACCTGAACCCATGTGCCTCACTCTCTCCTTTTGTTTCGAGCCCGACACTTTATTTTTTCGAAGAAATCCAAAGTGTTAAGTGGGGAGGACGGGAGGGCTTACCTCATGAGTCAGGATAAGTATAAAATATTAATTTTACTCTAAAAATTTCATATTTTTCCTTATCCTGACTCATACTTATTGCTTGTAGAATCGGACGGAAAAGGAGGTGGGAATATATATACTTTGGATTTTAATAATTAGTGATTTGAACTGTGATGATTGTAATAACCCTATGGGAACTTCATAAAGGCACTGAACTGATGAATTCCTGCTGTTTAACTTATCAGCTGCCATATAAAGGTTATTACAATTTATTGAATATGATAAAAGTATATACAACATTAATGTAAGCTGAAACTTCTGTGAGCTTATAGTGGATACTTTTATAAATTAACCAAAGTATTAAGCTTAAGATATGCATATATTTAAGCTATAATAGTATAGTACAGTGCTTAAGATATAATTATAACTTAAGCTGTATAATAGTAACCAACTCTTTAGAGTTTGTTAACTAATACATTTATGCATATGACCATATGACTGCGCTTAAGGATTGATGAAACTTAAGCTGAACCTATATATAGTAGCAAAACTCCTAGGAGTTGTAAGCTTATATATAGTATGATATAAAAACCATAGTACTGAGCTTAAGATAATAAATTAAACCTAAGCAAAATATATAGATAGCATGTAGCTATTAGTACTGTTATCAGATAAGTATAAAATCTGTAAGATAGACTTATCTTCTCCGTGGAACTGTCAACTGTTGAGCGAGGACCATGGGACCGAAATGGTGGATACCTGAGTCGTCCTCGGTGGTGATATCTCTCAGATAGTGGTTGGCAAACACCATATCGGATCTCCAGAAATATCCCTCCATTATGGTATTCAACGAGCAATTCCCATGTAGAGCGAGAGTTGAGGCTAGCACTCTAATTTCGTGAGGATTAGAAGCTCTTGGAGGGTCGAGTCCTGCAGCCTTGTAGGCACGTAGTATGACAGTTCTGATCCAGATAGAGATCGTAGTACGTGAGACTTCCGTCTGCGTAGCTGTAGATATAGGGATAAATAATCTCTTGAATTTCCCTCTGCTCTGTTTGGATCGTTGGAGATATATTTTCAGTGCCCTCACTGGGCATAGTGATAGATCCATCGTATCATGCGGTCCAAGTATGGATGAGAGAGCTGGGACGTGGAATAATCTGTCTGGTTGACCTGGCAGTTGGTTTTTCGCTATAAAATCCCAGTGAAGTCCCAGATGAGCGATGTTATGAATATTATCAAAGCGTGTTCTCTCGTAATCCAATGCGTGAATCTCTGACATCCTGGCGGCCGTAGCTAGTGCTAACAGGAATAAGGTTTTGTGGGTCAGTGATTCAAACGATGTAGATAGCGATGGTTCATAAGCCTCACTAGTGAGTTGTTGGAGCACTATATTTAGATCCCAGGCTGGAGTGTGAAACTTCCGTTTCTGATCCTCCAATCGGAACGCTCGTAACAAAGCGAGTAACTCTGGTGTTTTTGTTAACTTGACGCTCGCTCAGCATAGTTATGACAGAACTTATGGCTGCAAGATAAGTGGACAAGGTTGAGCCTTTTAGATTCTTATTTTGCCGTAGATAACATAAGAAATCTGCCACTTGAGGATGTGTAGCATATCTGGCTGTAAATCCTTTCTTAGCAGCGTAATTGAATAAACTGTGCCATTTGTCATCGTACAAGTTACGAGTTGAGTAACGTAGTGCAAGCGTGACCGCTTTAGCCGATCTGGCAGAATAACCTCTCTTATTCAGACATGCCTTGATACAATCCATACGTGAAGTTGGAATGCTTCTGGTGTTTCGTGCTCTTGTTTGGTGTGCGGATGTATCAATAGATTGGCGCGTTGTGGGAGCTGAAGAATTGGTTTTCCCATTACTTGAATGAGATCTGGAAACCAAGTTCTTGCTGGCCAGTAGGGCGCGACTAAAATCAGATGGAGGCTCTGCGTTTGACTGATTTTCTGTAAGACTTGTGGGATCAACGCTGGAGGCGGGAAAGCGTACGCGTTGAGTCTCTCCCACGATATGCTTAGTGTGCCCGCTGCCCATGCTAGTGGGTCTGGCACTGGCTTAATACCTAATGTTGTCAGTTGCTTGTTGAATCGAAAGTGGCTTAATAGGTCTATCAGTGGAGATCCTATTTCCATGATTATTTGATTGAATATCTCTGTGTGGAGCATCCATTCTGTCGGCGACGGTTGGTGTGGCCGAGAGAGCGCCTGCTAATACATTCTTTGCTCCTGAATGTGGCAAGCTCTGACGGTATGTTTAGATTGTCGATTAAATCAACAGTCTGAAACATCGAGTCAGTAGGTTCTGTGACCTTGTTGAACCTTGTTTGTTCACATAAAACGCCACTGTTGAATTGTCTGTGTGAACCATCAACTGAGCCGCTCTGTAGTATGTTGCTCCAGTGACTTATGGCGTTTATGACTGCTTGCATCTCTAGCAGATTTATGTGACATTTGCTCTCTTGATTGCTCCATAGGCCTGACGCTGTCCTGCCAGCAAGGTGGGCTCCCCAACCTTGAAGTGACGCTGGCCAATGAGAGATGTGTGTTCGATTCTCGCTCTACTAAGGAGACGCCTCGCGCAAACATTCAATCTCTTGGTCCACCAGAGTAGATGTGGTTTGACATAATCTGGTAGACTGAATGGTAGAGGGTCCTCGAGATGAGCATTGATGAGGACTTGTAACGGACGAATTGAAGCCTGCCTCTGACTGTCAAGTCTTGAGCTGATGTGAGTAGTCCCAATAGGCTCTGCCACTGTCGAGTGGTAACGGAGAGAGTAGGGCTTGAGGAATAAGTTGTTGGATCTTGATCCATCTGTCCTCGGGACTACAATACGATTCTGAGCTGATAGAAATCGTGATACCTAGAAATTGCAGATACTGCGTTGGTTCTAGGTCCGACTTGAGTAGATTTACTAACCATCCTAATTGTGTTAGTAGCTTGATTATAAAGTTCAGCTGTAGTCTGAGACGCTGTGGATCTGGATCCACTTGTATACTGTCGTCTAGGTAAAAAGCGCTGCGAAGACCTTGACGATGTAGGTATGAGACAATAGGCTTGGTCACTCTTGTGAATACCCAAGGGACCGATGTGATTCCGAGGGGAAGAACCTTCCATTGGTAATGTTTCCCGTCTAGGATAAATCTTAGACATTTCCTTGAGTTGGGATGAATCGGAATGTGTAGATATGCATCTTGCAAATCTATGCTGGCCATGAAATCTTTGGGACGAATTAAATGCCGAAGTTGTGGTAAGTGTATCATGCGAAACGTTGGTGGTTTGCATAGATATTCTCTGTTGAAGATGCTCATGTTGTATATGAGACGAAACTTCTCCTTGGAGTTTTTCTTCGGCACTAGGAAAACTGGGGAGTAGAAACCTGGTACAATGTTTCGTTGATCCAGAACTTCTAAGGCCTGTTTGTTTAGTAGAGTAAGTACTGTTTCTCTTAACATAGGTAGTTGTGCCGGTTGAACATTGAACCCTGTGGGGTTGACTGTTAACGGAGGCTTGGCCTTGAGTTGTATTAGATATCCGTGCTGTAGGATGTTGGATACATATGGATCTTGTAGTATTCCCCAGTTTTCCCAGTGTAGCTGAAGGTGTCCACCCACTTGAGACGGTTGTACTGGAACGGCTGGGGGTGGAAGACTCCAGTCGTTCCGAACCTGAATTTCATCGTCTAAATCCACGGGCACCTCTGGATGATCTGCCTCTAGCTGATCCTCCCCTAAATTTGTTGTATGGGCTTAATTTAAAAGATTCCTTGGGATCTTTAGCTGCAGCTAATTTCTTGTCCCGTGCTTTCTGTAGCCCCGAAAACTTAGACTTGCCTGAGTATCTCTGTGTTGACTGTTTAATGACGTTCGCTAAGGTATCCATGGATCTGATCATAAGTACCTCTCTCGAGTCTTTAGATACTTCTTTGGAGACCTTGTCTATGTTGCCACCAAACAGTAAGGGCGATGACCATGGAGTTGTGTATAGAGATTCTGTAAATTGCTTATCCCAAGAGCAGGAGGCTAGTAAGCCTTGCCGACGAGCCATGGTAGTAGTTTCACTAAGCGCTGACAGGTGCTCTGTAAGAAATTGGTGGTCTCTTTTCTGCATGAGTAGAGCTGAGTAGATCATTCTATCTTCCTCCTCTGTAGAATTCTTGAACTTGGTGATGAGAGTTTCATTAATCGCTCTAGATCTATTCAATCCAAAAACATTCTCCTGGAGATGGTATCTAATTGAGCGAATTTGCGATCGTCTACTCTGTAACTTCTGGACTTGGCATCGCTGATTAATTTAAAGTTGTCATCAATATCCTGGGCCTTGAAAAAGGGGTCCATATTGTGTCCAGCAAATTTCTTGGCATTGAAGACCGGGAAATGTGTAGATTGGACTTTCGAAGATTTGGAACAGGCTGTATCCAGATTAGCTGGTACCGCTGCAATCGGGTCAATAGGAGGTAAGGTGATATTGTCTACATCATCATCCTTCATCAGGTAAGTCTGAGTTGAATTCTCGTTCTTCGATGGGGAAGCAAGTTGTAACTCATTCACCATCCAGTATCTAATCTCAGCATCTGATGTAGGGTCACATGTCGGAGTCCTAGATCTATAGGAAGATCTATGAGAGGACTGTGGTGAACGGACTGACGAGTGGCTAGTGTAAGGAGACCTTGGAGGAGACATCCTCGGCGAACGCTGGGGACTTCGCGAAGCTCTTCTAAATCTTCTGGGCGAGGTAGATTTGGAGCCACTGAGCCTTCGTGACCTTCGCGAATGTATCGAGTCAGTGTCCGAATCGACATATGAGCGCTTGCTTCGCGAACGACCTCTGTGTTCTACAGGGTGTGGGCTCGGCGAAGCGCTCCTTCTCCGCGATGTCCCTAGCAACTGGAGAGGCTCTAGCTCCTTCGCGGAGGCGGCCTTGGACTTCCTTAGCGAAGTGATCGCTACGGGCTGAGTTGCCCTTCGCGGAGGCGTGTTTGTGGGCTCTGGGGCCCTACGCAAAGCCAAGGCGGGCTCTGGGGCCCTGTATGACTTATTATGGGTTGGGCTCTGGGGCCCGTGGCTCTGGGGCCTCTGTAAACCGTAACAGTCCTCCATCAGTCTCATGATTTGGTTAACCAGGTCGTCTGGGACAGTCTGCGCTGGCGTTGAGGGTGGCCTCTCTGTGAAAGTGACGGGACCCTCAATCATAAACTCAGGCGTCAGCGTAGGCATCTCTGGTTGCATGTTGATCTGCGCTGTAGTGACGGTGGCAGATACTGGACGTTTCTTATGACGTACATCTGGAATGATAATCGGAATGTCATCATCATATAAACATAATTCTGAGACAGGTAGAATATCGGAGGCAAAATTATTTGTAGCTTTCGTAGATTTCCCTTTTGACGAAGCTGTGGACCTGGGGGTTCGAAGCGTACGTTGAGATGATGTGGACGCTTTCCTAGTCTTAGACTGTGAAGACGGAATGTCTTGAGATGCAGGTCGCTTCTTGGACATAGCAGACTGCGTCCCACGCTTATCCCCCGAGGGAAACTCCGGCAGGCCACCAGCCGGTGGCGGGTCGTCAGTCAACAGTTGACAGGGAATGTTAGCTTCCGATCTATTAGCCATGACTGAAGCTTGTTTGCGAGATTTATCTGCCTTCCGTCTCAAAACGGAACATAAATATTTATCAAAGGCAGAAATTGGTAAATTAATACATAATTTACAACGAGAAACAATAGAACATGGAGTAATGCAACTAGGGCATTTTAAATGTGGATCGGTAGCGGAATAACGTAGTTTACAACCTGTGCAGATTCTCATTAACGTAAACTGCTGAACAAACACGGCGAACCGTGAATAAAACAGCAGAAACACGACTAATAATCAATGCAAGTTGAATAAGGATACTAGTTACACCTCTATAACTGAATATAAGAGGTACTAAACTAAATATAAATAAAGGATATAGTGTGTTGGGAGACACAGGCGCTCTCACGTCCAGCTCACTGGGCGAAGAAGGAGAGAGTGAGGCACATGGGTTCAGGTGGCGCCCTCGTTCCCGCGCTTGTGGAAGGGAGGTAACTCATGGTGAGTACTAATTAGTGATTTTTTAATTGAAGGGAACTTCAATTGGGAGATACACGTGTTCCACTATGTTCGCAAGAAGAAGAAGACAAGCAATAAGCATGAGTCAGGATAAGGAAAAATATATATTCATTCTTCAAGTATAAAACAGAATGAACTATCCATTGACAGTTTTGCTAATATCGTCAAGGATGTGGACAAAGTAGAAAGAATTATTGCTTGTAAGAAAAATGCTCTGCGTAAATTTAATTCCAAATGGAAACCTCCGAACAATGTATTACAGATAAAATTATACACCTGACATGTCCGTCATTTTATGAGAGCTTCACTGTATATGCTTTGAAAAACAATGATATGATATACATATCTACACCTGCTGAAGTGAAATGAATAAAAAGAATGTGAAAAAAACCCAAAACCTTTTCAAGACACACACACACACACACACACACACACACACACACACACACAAATTCCCCAGGGCCTAGTAGAAGATTCTGAAAAGACTAAGGATTTGCACAATCTCGAACCTCCTTACTGTAGCATCCACACAAAATTTCCACCAAATCAACTGATAAGCATAAAAAACTGAGTCAGCACACAAACATTTGAATGAATTCAATCTACCTCTTAGCTTCAGTCGTGTGGTTTGAATCAAATGATCCCCTCAGCCTGGAGCTTTTAACATGAGAGTCATGGTTAGTTGTTGTTTTTTTAGCTGTTTAATGCTGCACTGAGCAATATTCCAGCTATGTGGCGGTGGTCTGTAAATAATCCAGTCTGGACCAGACAATCCAGTGATCTACAGCAGGAGCATCGATCTATGCAATTGGGATACGATGACATGTGTCAACCAAGTCAGCAAGTCTGACCACCAGATCTCATTAGTTGACTCTCACAAAAAGCATGGGTTGCTGAAAATCAATTCTAACTCTTACCTTCACAGGTCATGAGTCATAACACAGACCCCACTGATGCTATACTTCAACTTCTATGAATGGGCGACCATACAATGCCACTGGAACCACTACCTGACCCTCATCTACAAGCACACTATTGTCTGTTACCAGCATGTTTTACCTTTGTGTGTTGGTATTGGAACTCCACTGCTGGGTGCCAGCACAGTAGGGTGCTGTCATCTGGGGACAGGCACACTTGGGGGTTTCTAGAAGAAAACAGGATTCAGCATGAGATAAGCAAATAACATGGAACATTGAATTATGCAGCACATGTCCCCATGGTACCTCATAGACTTGTAGAGTAAATCTACTCACTCACTACTATTACTAAAGAAATAAATGACGCACACTCGCTGTCATCTAAATGTACAAAGGATACCAAATTACTGCGGTTTCAGTCCAGAATAGTGAGTTTTCATTAATATCGCTTTGAAGAGTATTGAAAATTTTAACTATAAATTGTATATTTATATACTTATCCTATCTCACGACTTGCACCTCTCTCTCTTCATTCGACCATGAGTGGAAACGAATTAAAACTTTGCTCCAAGGCCTACCTTGCCCCTCTCCCGTGCTGTGCGTGCCTTCTGTGTCAGTCATGCTCACTAGTCCATGACAGCACGAGGCATGCGCAGTCCTCACCCACGTGATCACCTCACATACTCATTCTCGATCTTGGAGCCATAAAAGGACAAAACCGGAACAGTGGTAATCTATGTAGTGGGGAGGTAGGGAGGGACTTTATCGTGTGAGATAGGATAAGTATATAAATATACAATTTATAGTTAAAATTTTCAAATTTTTAAACTTATCCTATCTCACGACTTGCACTTATCCCACGGTAGGAAGGTGGGTCATAGATTACCCGAAATTCAAGCGATAACAGCTAAGTGTTATGCCCAAACAACCGTAGGAAGCAACTACAAGGTAGGCCAATAACTACCAAGTTACTATGTGCGAGGGTTAGTTCGAACCCATTGACTTACTAAGCACAATTGCTCCCAGGGACCGAGATTTCGAGCAATGTGGTGTTCAGTCACTACCTTCACAAAGTGAAAGGACGTAGCTTAACGAGTGTAATCAATCGCATCGCCACGATTTCCAAGGTACCCCCGTAATAAAAGTCTAACGACTAGTATCGGGCCAGCCCCTGCTTCGAAACAACCCCCACAGACACCGGCCCCGAGGAGGGTGAAAGAGAAATTGAATCGGTAAAACTCACAATTTTAACGTTCAGTACCACAACATCATCTTATGACTTCCATTACTTACCACAATAAGATCACATAGATGTGTATAGGCACTTAGGAGCATGAACGCTACGAAGTGTAACACTTCGGGAAGGACTCACTTCACTGACTTAATTACTCCATGGAGCAGAGGACAGTAAGTGAGGTGGCTACTCTCTGTAGTCTCAAACAAATGAGAGGAGAAATCTAAATCCCGAAGACGAAATCATAAAAGTTTTTCAGATTTATTCAGATTGTACACAAGCAGAAACGATCGCGACTTGGGATCAACTGCACAGTGGGATCCATATAGCATCGGAGCACAAGGAAGTTCATTATCTGCGATGTTGTGCCGCTGATAACTGCTGGGCAAGGACGAGTGGTCCAAACTGATGAAGGCCTTGAATATCCGTCACCGACACATCTCTGAGGTAATGAGACGAAAATACTGTGTCAGATCGCCAAAAACAACCCTCCATTATGGCAGTTAACGAGCAGTTGCTATGCAACGCCATAGTAGAAGCCAATGCCCTGGTTTCATGAGGGTTGACTGCCGTAGGTGGTGGCAAACCGGCAAAAGTGTAGGCTCGTAGTATTGTGTAGCTTCGTAGCCAATATGAGAGTGTTGTGCGAGAGACTTCCGCCTTGGAAGCAGTAGACAAGGGTATAAACAGTCTCTTACGCAGATGGCGGGCTCTTGCGATGCTTTAAGGTAACGCTATGAAGTGTAACGCCGGGGAATGACTCACTTTACTGACGTAATTAATCCGTGGAGCAGAGGACAGTAAGTGAGGTGGCGACCCTCCAGCGTCTCAAAAGCGAGACCTGCAATGGTCAGTTCGAACCCATTGACTTACTAAACACAAGTGCTCCAGGGACCGGGATTCCCGAGCAATGTGGTGTTCAGTCACTACCTTCATGAAAGTGAAAGGACGCAGCTTAGCGAGTGTAAACAGTCGCATTACCACGATTTCCAAGGTCTGACGACCAGTATCGGGCCAGCCCCTGCTTCGACACAACCCCCACAGACACCGTCCTGTGGAGAGTGAAAGGGTAATTGAATCGGAAACTCACAAGTCCCAGAAGAATCGAAGACACAAATCAGAAATAAAATGTTGCAAGATGTGCCAACGAATAGGTGTTGAGTCGGTATGAAGGGCACCCTAGAGACTCCAACACAAACATTCCACTTGTTGAGCCACCAACGAAAGACTGAATGTAGTTGTGCGGGAAGACGAATCAACTCCCTGGGGTTGTCGTCCCCGATGTATGGGCACAGAACCATCTGAAGAGGGCAAGCTGCAGCTGTCCCCTGTCAGTCAGCACTTGTGCCGACGCCAACCACCCTAGTAACTTCTGCCACTGGCGAAAAGGTGTGGGTTGGACCAACACTAGTGGTGCGTTGCACTGAATCTTGTCCCACCTCTCCTGGGGCACAAACATCATGACCTGGCATGTTGAATATTGTCCCAATAAGAAGAAACAGCGGTCGGTGTTACCCCTGATTGCTCAATTTAGCAGCCATCCTAATTTGCGTGAGCAACTTGATGATGAACTGTCTGTGGAAAGGAAGGACGACTGAATCCTGCTGGGCTTGAACACAGTCGTCGATATTGTTGTCAATTGTCACGCCGACAATGCAGGTAGCTGGTTAACAGAATGGGTATCTGAGTAAAAACCCACGGGGCTGCGCATATGCCCATACAGCAGGATCCTCCATTGGTATCAACGACGCCCCATAAAAGTAAATCGAAGATACTTCCAATAGTCTGGAAGTATCCGGATGTGAAGGTAGGCGTCTCATAGGTCAAGGGACTGACTGACTGACTGAGTTTAGTTTTACACCGCCTTTAGCAATAATCCAGCAAAATCACGGCTGGGGCACCAGAAATGGGCTTAACACATTGTGCCCATGTGGGGATCGAACCGGGGTCTTGGGCGTGACGAGTCCACGCTTTAACCACTAGGCTACCCCACGGCCATCGCAGGTCGAGGGAAATGAGAGGTCTAATCACTCTTGCCTCTGACAAAAAGATATCTCCTGACATAAGAACGTTCAATAAGTCGAGCAACTACGTCAGTTCTGACGGAGTGCTCAATGTAGTATGTTCGGCGCATGGAGATTGTCAGTCAATCTACAGGAACGTTCACATTATAAACAAATTGTAGAAATTGTGAGGATCGGTGACCTCAGGAACGTTTCTTTTGGCCGAACAAAATAATGGTGCGCCAGGTGGAGTGATATAGGTAGTAGATCGCTGCCTGGTGACAATCCTTGCATAATGCAGTGACCTCTGAACTCGGTGCTTGACTAGGCAAACCGCTTTCACGGGTGTTTCTGTCCGTCACCCTCCATAAGCAGTCTCTCTCGACTGGCTGTCAAAATCCCGACACAGTCACTCTTATCCGGGAATGGCAGCGTTCGTTGTTACTTGCATTTATAGGCTGGACTTGGTATCGATTCGTGGGACCAAGAGAATTCTGCAAGGGCACTTCATAGTCACTCTAATCATCAAAATTCCGGTAAACAAACAGTAGTCCGCCATTTGCAAACGTTACACACAAGTGACAAAAATACGGACAACATGGTCTTTGGTTAACCGGGCGAAGTCGCATAACCCATAAATTCGGGCTGAGCTATGCTGGCTATTTGACAAAACATTGCCGGTACCATGCGCCAAGAACTTCATCCATTTGTTATCTGTCCAGAAACTTGCTTATCATGTAAAACAAAGGGAGCTGAAAATGACGAGCCGTCTGCAACAATTGCACCAAGGGATACACAAACACGCTGTTACGGTAGTCTGTAGTAACAAGACTCATCAGAGCGTCAGAGAGTATTCCTGGCTCGCAAGCATATCTAGTTATGCCATATCGGTGGTTGCAGAACTGATATCTACACCGAAGGGTAGAATCGTTGAACCGAATCAGTCATCAAAAGTGAAGATCGGATGGTAGATTAAATCTGGAATGAGATGAGCTCGGTCACGGAGGACTCTTGAGAAACGGGATCGCCAGGCCGTCAAGTGCCGGCGTGATATCTCTAGATGACTGCGCTACTAACAACACATGTAAATCAAATCGGCATGGTGAAGCACATAGCTACTACCTCTGTACATTGATCTTGAACGCCAGGTGAACTGGTTCGACGATAGGGAGCTTTCGACCTGGTGAAACGATACTGAGCCGGCTGGTAAATCAGTTCAGGGTGGTGAGCCGGAAAGTTGGCGTGATCTGAATCAGTCCGATGTGATCTGAATCGTGACTGATCTGGATCGGTTCGGGTAATCGAACCGGTTAAATGATCTCAGCTGATGGAGAGATCTAGACCGCCAGATGAACCAGTGAGGCGAGGTGAAATGTTCCGCCGAGGTGAATCGCTTCGTTGCTGTGAATTGAATCGACGATGTGAACTGTTTCGGCGATAAGAAACAGTCTTAATATTATGGCAAACTGAGTCAATGTCGTATTCACATACGGGCGCGGCAAAACGGTTCGGTCTGGTGAATCCATTAGGTGTATGGCGAACCGATTCGGTGTGGTGAATCGGTTTGGTCTGGTGAATCCATTTGGTATGGCTTAACCGATTCGGGCGTGGTGAACCGGTTCGGCAATTTGATGGTAACGGTCTGGTGAAACCATTCGGTATGGCGAAGCCCGATTGGGTGTGGTGAATCCATTCGTATATGGCGAACCGATTGGGTGTGGTGAATCCATTGGGTATGGCTTAACTGATTGGGTGTGGTGAATCCCTTCGGTATGGCTTAACCGATTGGGTGTGGTGAATCCATTCGGTATGGCTAAACGGTTCGGTCTGGTGAATCCATTCGGTATATGGCTTAACCGATTCGGTGTGGCTTAATCGGTTCGGCGATTTGACGGAAGTAGATCGGATGTGTGAGTCAACTGGCAACACAGAGCGTTTTGATGAGGCGGAACCACGAGAAGACATCTAATGATGCTTCCATAAAATTATCACCGTCCGACATGGGAAACTGCGGACGACGAGCAGTTAATACCGGTCGTTAAAACGGGGTTTGTCGGGTGATCAACTGTTGAAGTGTAACGAGCTCTGTCTGCCAGCCATCGAGCAAGTATGTCTACATGCTCTAAAAACGTCCTTAATAAGGGAGCACATTCCGACAACGTTTGCTCCAGGAACATGACGATTGGGGATCCGAGGAAGTAAATATTGTTACAGTGTGCGCAAAATTACGCTTACTGAGTCTAGACTGACAAGACGGATATCCTGATTCACCTAAAGTGAATGAGACCGACTTTGAGAATCACTCTGACGAAAACACACCTTACGGCTAGGTGAACCGGATCGAAATGGCCAACCACCTCGACCAGGCGAGACTGAACGACTACGGGAATCAAAACGCTGATGGTGTGTCGAACTGAAACCTATGTTGAGGTGAACTGAGTCGGGAATGTGAACCTGTTCGTCCTGGTGAACCCCTTCGAGTACGTGAATCAGTTCGGTCAGGTGAACCCATTTGATTACGTGAATCAGTTCGGTCAGGTGAACCCATTCGAAGATGTACTGGTGAGCCGGCTCGGCCGTGTGAGCCGGCTCGGCCATGTGAGCCGGTTCGGCCATGTGAGCCGGCTCAGGAAAGTGAACGAGACCTAGAACGACTCCTCCCAGCCGTGGAAATAGGAGAGCGGGTACGTTCCAACGTTCGCGCCGATCCCCGCTTCAACGATGAATGCTTAGAAGTTCTCGAAGTCTGTGATCGTTCCGAAGAAGCAGACCTACGAGATAATGTAGATCGCAGGTCTGGCGTAGAAGAAATATCGGTCATTACCACCCTGGTACGCCATGAGAACTTAAACTGGGTGAGGGAAGCTCCCCTAAAAGCCTTCTAACGTTCTCAGATAAATAGCAATCCGACAAAGCCTCCATAAAATCTTCGTCAGGAGAGACGGGCGATTGAGAACGGTGAGCAGTGAGGGTGGGGCGATCTAAGCATTGTTTCTTAGCGGGAGATGGACCAGACCCCGCAGAATTAGTCCTAGCCCTATCTGCCAAACGTCTGGCACAAGCACGTTTGTAAAATTTAAACGCCTCATTAGACAGACCTGAACACTTCGGACAGCGTGTGTCCCAGTCACAAACACCCACATAATCAACACACGATGTGTGTGGGTCCCATGCTGAAAATACTTGATTACAACGGGCGCAAAACATCCGTTTACTGGCCTGAACAGGCTTAACCATTGAGCAAATCTCAGAGGAAAAAATTTTCACGTCCACTCAGTGGAGCGACAAGAAAGAGAATGAGTATGTGAGGTGATCACGTGGGTGAGGACTGCGCATGCCTCGTGCTGTCATGGACTAGTGAGCACGACTGACACAGAAGGCACGCACAGCACGGGAGAAGGGCAAGGTAGGCCTTGGAGCAAAGTTTTAATTCGTTTCCACTCATGGTCGAATGAAGAGAGAGAGGTGCAAGTCGTGAGATAGGATAAGTTTAAAAATTTACATTTTTATCAGTGAGTGAGTATGGTTTAACACCACTTTCAGCAATATTCCAGCAATATCATGGCAGGAGACACCAGAAAAGCTTCACACAGTGTACCTGTGTGGGGCATCGAATACTTTAACCACTAGGGTACCCCACTGCCGCTCTAGTTATATCAAGGAGTGTGAGCTTAATGTGAAACCAGTTGTCAAGATAACAGTGCCACTGATCTGCATCCAGCACCCTATGCATCTAACAACCTAAATAGAATACAATAAACATTTCTGGTTTAATAACATCAATTCCAGTTTCAGATACATACCAAGTCTAGTGGCTGTGGCTACCTTCATGAGCAGGTAATGAGCACTTCAGGTTTAATGATATCAACAGAAAGTCTTGTATTTTGTTAAATAACACTGATGAGAAGCACTTCCAGTTTATTAACAAATACGCTGTCCCTTGGTGGAAAGTGAAAGAATCCAATGGAAGTCAGCATATGCTACTCACAGAAAGGAGCTCTCTGACCCCTACCATTGATATCATTTAATACAGCTTGTCATCACTTTTCATACAGAAGCACTTAAATAATAAACCCACTACAGGCATAAGACTATTCGCTTTATTGACATGTCTCCCATTCTATGATCTGGGCTCTGCCCTGACAATTCCTAAAGATGTACAAAATTTCACTGTCCTCCAGTAAATTCTTTTGAATGTTTGACCTCAAAAGAAGAATTTGACCTTCATTGTCATTGAAAATGATTTCAAGAACTATGAATTTTCAAGCTTTGACCTTGAAGATGGCCTTGACAGTTGAAATGATACATAAATGTACCACTCTGGATCACTAACGTTATTTACAATACATGACATATGACATTCCTCAGATACCAGTCACCACCTGGTTTCAAAAATTTAAATGCATATGATAGTCATTGAAAGTACTTACTTTGACTTACATCTGATTTTGAAGACTGTCATCATTTGGTTAATAGAAGTAACATAACTGTCTATAAAACAGAAGCCTACATGCCTAAAAGGTTTGACAAATGTCATTGCTGCGACCTTTATCTTACACTTTCACAATATTTTCAGATGTCCCAAGGATGACTTATACAAACTGCAATCCAGAATATAGGCTTACTTGTCATCTTTGTTGTGATTGCAGCATGGGGGTGATGAGCTGACAGCCCTCCGGTATGTCATACATGCTGGAGTGGCTGGAATAAATAAATACAGGGATAGAAATACTTTTTTTTCTAAGTGTGCCTTAGGGCACAAGACAGATATTTTAGATGTGCCTTTCTGAAATCAAGTGTGCCCATATGTTTTTAGAAGAAATAACTGTAGCAGTGATGATGATCATTTGAAATTATTGTTAGTAAACAACAAATTTTACCTGTTTTCTGTTATCACTGATATGTCTTCTGTCTAAGATGGCTTTTTTAAGCTTCATATGCATTTGTTCTGCTTTCCCAACACCTTTAACAGCTAAGACTTTTGTGACAGGTTCACTTGTTCAATATATCTAACATACACAATTTCTCTTCAATAACTGAACTATCAGTACTCCCAACACTCTACATGGAAAAACAACCAAATTTCTTTACATCCATCATAATTCCAGTGATTTCCTGGGCAATACAGTCAATAAATGTTTTTTGCTTGTTTGTCATTTGCTCAAGTGTTTTGTTTGGGGGATTAAATGACTAAAGGTGAGTTATGTCTCTACAAAATTAGGTGTGCCATAAGGGCACCGAGAACATTTTTTATCCGTGCCATTTCAAAATTTACTGTGCCATGGCACGCTAATACATGGCGTATTTCGAACCCTGAAATAGTTTGTATGTCTCGCAATTACCATTTCATGTTGGTGCCATCTTGAATAATTAGTGGGGATTTATCTCAGGTTCTAAACTAAACTACGTTGGCCAGACAAATTAATGAAAAAAATGGTATATTTTGAAAAAAGTTACTTTTAAGGTCATACTTTCTTGTATCTACTGGAATGCATAATTCTAGATATTTTAACATTGTATTTTGTGATTGCATTAAATGCCTCATATAAGAATTTTCAGACTCTTAGGCCAGACGGATTTCATTTCTTGTTTTATGGATTGCTGTCCTCAGAAAACCTAAAGGAAGGAGGGAAAAATAAATTTAAAAAATCGCCAGTCAAAGCAATATTCCTTCTAAATACTCAAAGTATTTTACTTTTGGCAATTTATGAAGTGTATATGGGGCAAAAAACACTTTAAAAAATATTTTCTTGTAAGTTTACATTTTTTACCAATAAAAACATCAGGATTTATTTTTTGAGCGGGGAAAATTAATTTTTATTTTTTTTCTTATTCTTGAAAAAATACGACAGGCGGATCCATAAAACAAGAAATACAATTGGTCTAGCCTTATGAAACATTTGTTGTCTTCTTACTAATCACATGAACAACTGTAAACATCTCACTAACTTATAAAAAACAATAATGTGTTATATAAAAAGAGTATAAACAATGTCTGTGCACCAAGTAGGGCTCTCACAGGTCCAAAATCTGGGACTTGAGTACTCAAGGAGTCAGACCCGACTCGGACCCGAGTACCCGACAATCTATCTAAAATCTATCTAAAACCAATTTATCTAAAACCAACATTCCTATCTACGAATAATGCAACATGTATATGTGAATCTAAACGTTCTTAACTGTGTATTATGTTCTCTTTGCAATCTTCATACGACTTCAGGAGGTAGTTGTGAATGTCGCGGTACTTTAAGCATAATACCTTCATATCATTTCCTGTCAACAGGCTTGCGACTTTTGCTAACAAAATTACCAATTGCAATTACAAATTACCGTTACTGGCTGAGCTGTTTTTCTGTCTACGATGCTTATTTGCGGTTGCTTACAGGATGTGTGTATGTGTGCTGCACAGCTAGCAGCCGAACATCCATGATGTGCGCAAACATAATCCGACGATAACCTGAAACTAACGTCAGATCATAGGTTTTCGGACTGCAGTGCTCACTCGGACTGTAAACAGGGGTGTTGCGGTCGACAGACATTGTGAACTCTGGAATAATTGCCTGTGTTTATGATAAGTCTATCTTTCATAAGTTAGAAACATGTTTGGCTACAATTTGTTAAAGCGATAATCGAGACGACAACGCATGGTTTCACTGGTTTCAGTGTCCCAAAAACAGTATGAGACCGTAGAGTGGTAGAGACGGGATAACATAACACCACAGCCGTCACAGGATCGAAAAGGTGCTCGAGATCTATCAGTGCCATTAGCTGCACCCAGTAAACTGAATGTGCCTTGCAATAATCGCTTTTATGTCAATTTTAACTGACTTTGTCTCACCATTTGTGCATTTGTGAACTAACAACTGACATAACACACTCCTCATGGGCGCCGCCATCTTTATTTGAAATAGAGGCATCTTAAAATATCCTTGCAGTGCTGGTAGGCATCACTTGTAAAGAACTTCTCCATTCAAACGGACTGACGGTGTCTAGAGTACAGGGACAGGGACTATAGAGTACAGGGACAGCACCAGTTCTGAGATGGTTTTGGGAAAGGTATTATATTAACAGATTTTTATGACAGTATTTTCAGAGGACATCAGACCTCATAACTGTGATTTGTAGCTGAGATCGACTTTTCATCGTTTATTGTCTGTCTATATCTATGTCTCTTTGCAAGATAAACGTATGCTCATTTCACAACTTTGAACTCGAACTTTCATACCTCGTCATGCACTGACATCAGCTGATCATGTATATTTGAATAATGCCCTAGTTTTTAGTTGTGCATCGTCTTTAATCAGCAATAAACGTCTTCACAGACATCACACATTTACCGATACTATTTATGGAACCATGTACATAATAATTTGCTAACTCCAACAAGACGTATACTAGTGTACAGCAGTAGTGAAATACTGCAGCAATCTGCTGTAAGTTATAGATTACTACCAATGTCTTAGCATGGGATTTGGTGTCTTCAGCAACGAAAACCACAAGACTACAGGATGTGAGCTGACGGTGTATTTATTATTCTGGGAGGTACAATGAGTACAATTTCCACTATGCATAAAACCCTGAAACAATTGGTCAACAATGTAAATTTGCTATCATCAGTGTATGAAATAAGGCCCATCCGACCGCCCGAGACGGTCTAGATTTCTTACGGATTGTCTAAATTTACAGCCAGCCAGCCTGATGGTTTGGTAGAAATTTTAGATGTTCCATACATCTGAGTAAATTCACCATATTTGGTCTGGTTAAATCCATTTTGGGCTGGTAACATTTTGAAGTTACCAGCCCTGATGTCTGGCTGGATTTTAGACTTATTTCATACACTGCTATCATACACCAAATATCTCAAGATCGAGACACGAGGTACACCACAGTTATCAGCCTCTACTTAAGTAATTTGCTGCAATGTTTACAACAGACTATACAGATCAAATAAAATCAATACAAATCCCATTTTTTTAATTAACATGAATATAAATATACCATGTATGTACATAATACATCTATTATAACTACAAGACATATAGTTACCCAGATGGGAACGCTGCTCAGTACTTGTACACTTTGATATACAGCAGATGAAATATTATGTACATACAGGTGCATGATCCAGTGCAGTCCTATAAGGATCTGTTTATAACCCTACATATCTACACACAGCTATACTTACCAACATGGTGTGATTACACAGGGTTTATGTTAATATACCCATTAAAACACAATATGCTGCAGTACAGATGTAAGACTAACCTTGGGAATACAGTGTTGAGCTGATTTCAAGAAGACCGTGAAACTTATTACTGCTGTGTAAACCTGCTTGACTGTTGAAGTGCTTGAGAGTGGTCAAAGTCACAGGTCAGCAACTGAGTTTAAACTGCATGACAGTTATGTAATCTAGACAAAAGACTGAGACAGGACTGGTCAGGGCTTTGGCTATTGTAAGGTGTGTGTTCATGCATTCATTGGTATGCTTTGCTCATGCATGCTTCAGCTGTACTGTAAAATAAGATAACCACATTTAAAGATGTATCTTATATGCAACAGGTGTATCTGCAACTACATTACTATGACTGACTAACATAAAATATAATACTGCCACTCTAAACACACTAATTAAGTTTATTTTACTTTTTGTTTGTTGTTTAACTCAGCATTCAGCAATTTTCCAGCTACATGGCACTGGTCTGTAAATAATCGAGTCTGGACCAGACAATCCAGTGATCAACAGCATGAGTATTGATCTTCGTAATTGGGATACTATGACATACATCAACCAAGTCAGCAAGCCTGACCCCCAGATCCCATTAGTCGTCTCATGTGACATGCATGACTTGCAGATCAATTCTAACCCAGGTCTTCACTGGTGTTAATTTACTGGTTACTGGAATTATTTCTGATCACAATACATACCTATGTATGAAGACATTAGTATACAATACATTTACATTGCATATCATGTGGATGACACTGCCAATTGTTCTATATTACACACGTGCATCTAAAATGTCCAGTGCACAGTTAATATGACTGAAATATCCAATCCTAACGGTAACCTCATTATGTGATACGTAGGAATACTAAAGAAATCTAACCTTGCCCCAATAATTGCAGTGCTGTGATATTCATGCAGAGTTGAGATGCAGCAGTGATCAGAGCAGAGAAATGTTAAGGTGTATGAGACTTTGGATCTGGTCTCATACTACAGAAACAATAGAAATTCAATTATTGCCTTTGGGTGAAGACTTCTACTAAGCAATATGATGAAAGTTAAAGTTTAGTTAAAGTTTAGTTAAAGTTTGCAATCAAGAGGTGTTGCAAAAATGTTCATGATAGTACTTACTAAACACTTTGACAGCATTTGTGAAGGCTATCGTAAACCCCAGCATCATTCTGATTATAATTCTTTGTCCTTTGGGGTAGCCAAGTGGTTAAAACATTTGCTCGTCACACCAAAGACCCAGTTTCAATTCCACACATGGGTACAATGTGTTAACCCCCTGGATGCAGAGTTTTTTTCAGGCGCACATTTTCATACGGTTTGATAAAGTGAACGTTGTGCGAGAATTGCGCTCGCGTGGTCCTGGATCTACGTACGGCTATAAAATTACACAGAAATGTAGAATATTAAATTTCCTATCCGTTGGTATAATTATAAGTGCAACTACCTCGGCGGTTTGAGAAATAGACATTGCTATATGTTGTGCAAATGTTTGTTATGCGTAAAAAAACAGCAAATTTTACCGCTTTTTATCGCGCACCGATTAAAGCACTTTTTTAATTTGGCGTCTTTACGGAAAGTGTGAGCGAAGAAAATACAGCTTAATATCGGAACGACATAAGTGTATATGAATTGGGTTTATGTGCTTATGCATAATGTTATACGCTTAACATTAAAAATGACTGGCAATAAATGTCAAAAATGGATTTTCTTCTATGACGTCAAACGACGACAGAGAGGTCATACACCTATAATGATAAGGGGGCATAACTCGGTTATGCTAAACACTAGGTTAATGTAACTCAGACCACATGGAGAGAATTTGTTGTGGATACGGACGCTATATTTTCGTTTTTTGTTGTTCACGGTGAACCAAACTATTCCAATTCAAAGTTCCCCAATGTGAACGCTATGGTAGTTTCACAATTTATAAGAAAAGATGACAACGTATTACATGTGAAAGCACGAAACAGCGATTCGGATGGCCCTATCCGGTATATTAACTTAGTTCTTAGATTCCCATATTCTCCTGTTTGTGTAGATGTATTTTGACTAATTTTGCATCGTTATTACCAGAGTACTAGCCATATCTTCAATGTAATGGAATTGCTGAACATAATACAACATTTTAGTTGATGTCATTGCTTGTTTTATGCATTTTGCGACATCGAAAAAACACGACATTAGTATGCTGATTAGTATATATCTCACCTAATTTCCATTAATTGTACAAAAGGTCTGGGCTTCTATGTCAGAATTTAACACTCTTTAGACAAACCATAAAATGACTGATTTTGCCAATTAAATAGTGTCCTGAATATATCAACAATTAAACGGTTTGACTGTGTATCTTATCGTGAGCAACACGAGCACCTGTTCGGCATCAATTTAACGTAAATGAAAAATAATATTTCACAACACCCGAATATTTTGTTTAGGATAAGAATTTTCTTTGTTTATGATTATGTAGCTATTTCTCTTCATAAGTATGTAATGAAAGATGCAAAAAGATAGCTTTTATTTAAGGAACTATATATTAGAATATGGATGTAAGATTTGTCCAAATTAAGACATGACATGGTTTATATATTTTTAAACAATTTTCATATAAATATAGTTAGAGTTTGATATCCTCTCATCATAATATCTTTTAATCAAATATGAATTGATTATATTATCGAAAACAGTGATAGTGATTCATAAAACGTTACCGACAAACGCGCACCTGGCGAATTAATATTCATCATTGTTTTGTCTATAAAACGACACAAACATATGCAATGAACAAGACAATTCCTTGAAATATGTGTGCATATACATTTCATAACTTATATAAATAAGTTTCATTAAATATTATCAGTTTACTTATAATGTTGAATTAAAACGCTGTTTATTAACCTGTTCATATGAAACTGAAATATTAGTCCAAATGCATTGAATATTTTACATCATAGGAAATAAAGTAATTGCATTTATGGCTACGTTTGATCTTCTAACATTTGTGTTAAGGTTAAGAATATGGTATACTGCACTAAATGTGTCAATTTCTTATGTAAATATTATTCAAACAATCAAAACTTTCAAAGAATAAACCACCGTAAACCCTATATGCACGTATGATATGATATTGAACAAGGCTAAATGTAGATACTGAAGTCAGTTTCATGAAAAAGTATCTGAACTATACGCAAAATATACATCATAATACTGACAGTGTAATCAGAAGGATTGGGCGATTGTGTTTACTCTTGTTCAACCGACCTTCACCTCAATGAAATTGCCTAATATGTACAACAATGTTGACGTATGCCATCACTACCGATGACCTATTTCTTACAAAATGGCGGCTTTGCTGACAAGGATACACAGGATTTTTCGAGGACCCTTCCATTGATTCAGGGATCGTTTGTACATGAATATGACATGTAAGCAATCAGAATGGTTCTGACTATCTGTGTATTGTTATATGTTTTTACCATTTTCACTGTAAGTAAGAGAAGAAGCCAAAAAATGCTGATAATTACAGTTGTCGTTCTGCGTGATTTTGCGTCAGTCATGGTGTCACGCTGCACGGAAACTTTGACAATTTCTTATGAATTATCAAATCGTTGCATTGTATCTATTCATAATTTCCTATTTCTTGCTACGATACTCTTTCCATGCATATTCCAAAGGTATTCAAGCAATGAATAGACGGGTGAATGTTGGAACATTACAGAAAATGCTACGCAGTGCAAAATCGAAAATTTGCCTTTGTTTACATTTCAATCAAGCGCAGTCTTTTCGAGCACAGCGTTCGTTTTCACACCCAATATGTTTCGTCACATTTTATCTAGACAGTTGGTATTGGTGACAAAGACCAGTTGCAGTTTGATTCTAAAATGTATGGGGAATTCAGTGATGCATTTTTCGAAGCTTAATATGAAATATACGTGATGTAATATCCGTCTCAATACCGGCCTTCGTGAAACGTGATTTTGTAAACACTATCCAATATGGCGGAAAGCGCTCTATGGCGTTCATGTAATTGTATTTTGGAAAATATCCCAACCGATTCTACATTCATCGGCAACGTTTCAGAATTATCATTAGCGATTTCATGTCAAACTGATATCAGTGATCATGAATATGTTATTTTTGAAATTCAATACTCCCAGTAATTATCCGATTTTCACATTTCAAAACATACAGCAAATACCGCTGTGAATCGCGATTTCGTACTGTGTCAAAAATGGCGACATTTTCAAAAAAGCCTATTTTGAAAGGTCATTTTCAGCTCTTGAGCTTTGTCTAAAATAATAGTGGATGGTATCAAGAAACAGGAAATTTCCCGCAGAATTTGAAACTGTGAAGTGTATTTGTGTGCGTGGGATATTTTGATTTTTATTGGACTTCAAATTGAGGGTTGAAGGGGAAGGACATATATGTCCCTGTGGCATCCAGGGGGTTAAGCCCATGTCTAGTGTCCCCCTCCGTGGTATGACTGGAATATTGATAAATGTGACATAAAACTGAACTCGCTCACTCAGTACTGTAACCTTGTTTGTGGGTTTTGTGGAAGTTGCTAAGACCGCCATCACATTAGGCTTGCTCACACTATGATGTGGCTGAAATATTGGTCCGTTTGTCTTTAGATCAAATTCACTCACCCATTCAATAGTTCACAATTGAACCTGGTTTATCCAATTTGCAAGAGATATCATTTAATGTTATCAACTGATAAAGAAAACCATTCAGATTCACTGAAAAGATCTCTTAGATATGAATGCAATTTGAGAATGTTTCTATACTAATCAGATCAAGGCACACATGTATTTGACAACTATCTTTATTTTACAGACAAAGGATATTGTGTCGGTATTCCGAGAGCTGGCGAAACAAGCTCAGCCAACTTCAGCAACATTTAGCAATCAATCTACAGGGGATACACTCGTTGTGAACACAAAATGGTCTCAGAGGGACTTACAGAAGGGAGAGAAAACATCTTTCTCTAAAACATACATCATGTCTCCAGATGGTCCGTCTGGTCTGCATGTTGTCATGGCAACACCCCCACAGGAATTCTCAAATGTGTAAGACCTGAACCAACTGAATTATTACTATATCTTTACTTCAGGAATTGAATATATTTATTTAAACTGAAGTTTGAAATTTGACCATTTTAACATAAATGTTGCACTGTGAGCATTCATTGTTGACGTTTCATTTTCACATAGAATGTATAGAAGGTGCCAGAATAATTGGGCCATGAGTGTTACTGTTGGGCAAGAATGCACTGTAACATGGCACACACTTTGGTTACAGACTATGGAACCGTGAGTCTCCGTCTGGTCGACTCAGAGCTGTTGTCTGTAAAGTGAAGAACAAGAAAGGCAAGGAGAAGCAATACTTTGAGGTTAGGCATTCTTGAAATCTCTGTCTGTCACTGATAACATACGGGTCCATCACTGCATGACTTAGTATTAAGGCATGGAAACAACATTTGTCACTCTTGTCAGTTGCACACATATTTATCTGAACTATTTTCTGAGTCTTTCATGATATTATCAGTGATTCTTCTGTTCTGTCCAGATATGGAACTCAAGTCGAAAGGTGAAGACCTTTGATATACAGAGTTGTGAAAAACATGGGAAGGTTTATGAAGCAGATGGTAAGAAGACATACTGCCCTCCATTGTTGTCCCATCATTAAACATGTGGCAAGCAAGTACTACTAGCATTTATTGCTGGACTGAAGAGCTGTGTAATGGACCAATATTTGCATTGCAGTCTATTGTGATATGGGTACCTTTATGGCAGTACGTTTTACGTTTCACAGTGATTGACACTGATTGTCCATGCAGATTCTGATTTCATCACACTGAAGTAAATATTTCAATGTCAAAGCTGGTAACTGCTATTTTGTTGTCATAGACACAAGGGAGATAATAATGTGAGAAAAATTACCTCCACATTTCTGCCGTTTTGTCATTCTATTTCAAAGGGAAGTGTCATTTGTGAATATATTTCTGTGTTGATTTTAGGCTAAGCAATACAAATAATAAGGAGATTTGTAATATATGTTTTACCCATTTTAGCTAAATACATAGAAAATACTGAATTACATAGTGTATAAAAAGTATACCTTGTGTCATATGTCATGCTGGACGGCAGTGGGAAACTGTTCCAGGTCAGTTTGGTTGTCTTGAGTGGTCTCCCTCTGAAAGGTACTTGGTGTATATTGCTGAGAAGAAGGTCCCCAAGACTGGCAGCTTTTTCCAGGAAGATAAGCAGCCTGCTGATGACGGTGCTAAGAAGGAAGAGATTATACAAGTAAGAGGGTTGTGTTAAAAATCAGTTCCTTTAAATCAGAATCTGAATGCTGAATAAGTTGCAGAGAAAGCATCAATGCAGCAAGAAGTGAAAGCCTGTTTAATTAAACATTCCTAGGCATATTGGCAGTTGTATTATCAGAACTGGGCCTCCTTTCACAAAGCAGTAAAGTGATCGTAAGTCACTAAGGTAACCTTAGTGCTATGTGAAAGAATGGGAGTTAAGGTTAACCTTAGTAAAGATGTACAAGGTGGAGCTGCTTCTTTCTCCAACCCTGTCAATGGCTTTGGTTTTGCCAGAGACCATGTACTATGGTCTCTGGTTTTGCATAAAATACTATTACTTTGAAATTAGCAGATTGTTTTCCTCCATTCCTCTGAAACTTGATCAGTTAAACTGAGATACAAGATAAACCCCATTTTTGTTTTGAGACACACATTTCAATTCTGATTAGTTTTCCTTATCCTGACTCATGCTATTTGCTTACCTCTCCCCTCCTTCGAACGGTTAAGTGGAAACTTTAATCCCTTTCAGGTCCCTGAAGCAAACGTACAATCGATCACCCCGGAGTTACATCCCTTGTGGTTTCCCACCAAAACCACCCACGTGACTGAAGTCATGCCTGTCCTCACTCTCTCCTCAATCGCCCAAGCGAGGATTCCTTTGCGTCTTATATTATTGTTTCTTTTGGATATTTCAGCTGGGGTCAACGCAGTTCCAGCCTCGTCACCAATGTCTGCAGAGGAGTCTACAGTCGTCGTCCTGCAGCAACGTATGACGTCCAATGCAGATGGTTTCAACCCTGATGACTTCGTAGACGCCATCACACAGAAGGTGGTCCAGGCCATGGTGCAGAGACTAAACTTGAAGAGTTGTCCAATGTCCGGCGTCAGCTCTGCAGATGGTGTCTACTCTACATCCTGTCCATCGGCGCCAACTCATCAGCCTGCTGAGAGCACAGGCTCTCACTCGCAGAGGAAAATTGCAGCTTAGACTACTACAGCGCTTCCTGATAACTCATCTAGAGGAGGTCCAGAGGTTCACCATCCCACAACATCTGAAGTCGCACCTACTCTGGTGAACGGTGAAGTTGAATGTCTGCGGTGGACTCTGTTTACGAGAGCCGGCTTACAACGTACATCTCTATGTAGGCGCGTCTCTCCAAGGCTAGGGAGTTCACTTCAACGATGAGGTCACTGCAGCAGTTTGGTCCCAGAAGGAGAAGGCCTTACACATCAACCAGCTGGAACTGAAGGTGGTGATAGTGGCAGCTGCAACTAATGAATGAGGCCCTGATGATACACATGGACAACTCGACGGTAGCCTTCTACATCAACCTGCAAGGCTCCACGAGATCAGCGCTGCTGCTTCAACTGACGTTCCAGCTGTTCGACATAGCAGATGGCGTCAGCCTGAGGATCAAGGCCTGCCACATCCCAGGGCCCTAGCCATATCCTGGGAGGGACTGAATGCTCAGCAATGCCTCCACCAGTCCTGCTACCCTGAGTTCTACACAAGATCAGCCGGACCAGAGTCCTGCAACTGATTTTGGCCGCACCTTACTGGCCGACGGGATCCTGGTTCCCAGACCTCATAGAGCATCATGGCGAACCAGTGCTACAACTACCAGACTGGCCAAATCTACTCATCCAACCTCCCACCAAGCAGCGGCCAAAAGTCCAGCAACGTACCAGCTACACGCATGGAGCGTATTATGCAGTGCTTGAAGAGAAGAGGGTACTCTATCAGAGCAGCCAAGGCAGTGACGCTGGCTTTACGTTGATCTACTCGTAACCTGTATGACGACAAGTGGAGAAGTTTCGATCAGTTTGCTGCTCGCAAGGGGTTCTTGACCATGACAGCGATGCACCCACAAGTAGTTGACTACCTGTGTCATCTGAGGGCTGCTAGACATCTGAAAAGCTCTACGCTGTCTACCTACCTGGCGGTGATCAGCTCGGTCATCACCATGGATACAGGGGTGAAGCTGACCAAGGTGCCTGAACTAGTGGCCCTGCTTAAATCATTCAAGTTAGAATATCAACAGCAGAAGTTCAGATCACCAGCATGGGATCTCAACATAGTGTGAGACAACATTTGATTTGCTAACTCAAAAGACGCTGTTCCTCCTCACCCTAGCTACTGCTGCTCAGATGTCAGAGATTCACACCCTTGACATGGCCGTACAAGATTCAACACAGGAGAGAGAGCTGCAGTCCATCTAGGCCTTAGAATGGGACTTCATCGCTAAGAACCAGCTACCGGGCCAACTGGACCGTCAGTTCCACTTTCCGGCACTATCAACCATCTAGGGTCCAGACGACACACAAGATCTGTTCTTATGCCTGGTCAGAGCCCTGAGGGTCTACTTGCAGAGATCTGCTGCGAGGAGATCACCCAACACGACTCTAGAAGTCTCCTGAACTATGGTCTCCTTTTGGATCAGAGCTGTGATCCAAAGAGCCTACAAAACACCAGGGTTAGAGCCACCGAGAGCATCGAACCCCCATGAAATTAGAGCACTGGCCTCGACACTCGCCCTACATGGGACCTGCTCTTTATAATCCATCATGGAAGGCTGCTTTTGGAAGTCGGACAACGTCTTTGCCAACCACTATGTACGAGATATCGCTACTGAAGACGTATCCGGTATACCCCAGTTCAGGCCATTAGTAGTAGCACAGCAGACGATAAAAAATCTCACCCCTGTCACGTAGACTCGTTTATGCCAGGCAACTGTTCCATTGCCACTGACAGAGAGTCCATGTTCCCCTGTCTTACAAGATAAGTCAGCACATGAGTGATGCAAAGACTCAGTTATGGTAATGTCCTTACCTTAACAGATGGGTTGTAATACCAGATTCGGTAATAGTCCTTACCTTAACATATTGGGTCGTTCCAGAAATCTAGACAACAGGGCGTTCTAGTTTTTCTTAAATCCACGAAGCCTATAAGGTTTCTGACGTATAAGAAGGTGGTCCCCCGATGAACATCCAGAAATTTTCCATCCGAAAGGTGAGTTCCCAGGGGATACATGAGCGAACGCTGACGTGATTATGCAGTCACAGAGAATTACGTAGATGGTTGACCTACCACCTATTCTGTCGGATTCATTAAGCAAATAGCATGAGTCGGGATAAGGAAAGATATGTAATTTTTATGATAAAATTTATATTTTATGCTTATCCTGACTCATGAAATGGAGTCCTTACAACCTTCCCCTCTCACCACTACAGGCTTCCCTGTAAGCCTGTGTGGGGGCTTAATTTCGGAGAGAGTGAGGACAGGCATGGCTTCGGTCACTTGGGAGCTTTTTGCGGGGAAACCACAAGGGAGGTAACTCCAGGGTGAGTGATTGTACGTTCGCTTCAGGGAACTGAAAGGGATTCAAGTTTCCACTTAACCAGTCAAAGGAGAGGAGTGATAAGCAAATAGCATGAGTCAGGATAAGTATAAAATATCATTTTTATAATAAAAATGCATTTATATTATACAATGGTTGAGCTCTATCCCATCAAGCAGTGGTGTTTAAGACATTTTGAAAGTGCTTCAAGAACGGCAACATTTTGTAGTTAATGATGCTGTGTTCACTGCAGGGCGATGAACATGCATTCCGAGAAGACTGGGGGGAACAGCTAGTGGACAAGCATCATCCTGTGCCGTGTGTAATTGATGTGAGGTCGGGTGACGTCACAGTCCTGGACATCATTCCGGGGGATATATCTGCTGGACAGGTAAGTCCTGGTGATCTTGTGGTTGGGTAACACCACATAGAGTAGACAGTATTAGAGAAAACATACAGTTTAGTCCAGCAGGACAGTGTTTGTTTTTACTCAACGTGATGAAGATTCAGTCATCCCACTGAATTACCATTCTTTGTGTTGTTCACAGTCTCTAGTGTCCTGCTACAGAATGGGTTCCTAGTACTCCAGTCATGTTGTAAAAGCGGAACACAATGGCATTGGGTAGTTCCAGATATTGTTGTTGCAGTCAGCACCCCATTATGTACAACCACAATGATATATTGTTTCAGGCAAGTTGGGCCAGTGACGACACAGGCGTGGTGTTTGTAGGCTGGAACCATGAACCATGGCGGCTTGGACTGATATACTGCATCCAGAGGAGGTCAGTTCAAGACTTGCACATGTAAAATGGTTGCAGATGGTCCATAAAACATCAGTTAGTTATAACTATGGTTTATCATGACAATCTGTTTGGGTATGACCCTCTGAAATTTGATGGCAATAACCCTGTTCTAATCATGATAATCAGTGCATAGAAATAAACCTTGTAATAATATATGATGATGTCTGCATATATCTTTATAACAAAGATATCTTGGTACTCACATGCAGCATTCACAATAAATACTTATCAATGATTTATCTCTGTTTTCAGGAGTAGAATTTACTTTGTTGATGTAAAGAACACAGAATGTTGTAAGTACTGTCACACTAATTGTAAAATGTAGGGAGTGATGTTTATTCTTTTTCAGAAGAAGTCCTCCTTGGGGTACATATAAGCAATTAAATGTCCATTTTAAATCCTACGACAGTTGTAACAATATTTTAATAAAAATATTTACAAAACAAAACACTCGTTTTTGTCTTGTGAGACCACCCCTACAGGACCCCATAGGGCCCCCCTACAGCCAAGAGCAGGTACCTCGTACCTCACTTTTCATGCTGTCGTTCTCAGAACAGACATGTGTGATGTCCTTAGAGTATTAACTCTTCCTATAATCGACGATGAGTCATAAAGATTCTCAAACTGTATGTATGGTTCCTTTCACGGGCGTTAGATCGGCTTCACATATTGATATTTTCATTCATCATTTGTTGTAACTTTGTGCCGTGGGTCTCTGTTTTCTAGCCATGTGGCAGGCAAAATGGGGGACCACGCGGTCGTGGTTTCATCTCTACATGTTAGCTTTTTAACCCGTTGTTGGAAGTTCATATATTATCTTTGCATATTATATGATAGGCTTGCCTTAAGTCTCGTTTTTTACAGCGAATTTACGGTAAGTCATTGTGAGTACTTTGATGGCGTGTTTGTTTCGTATCACTCTCAATTTTACTCCATTGTATGTATACCCAGGTTGTGGCTAGCCTTTTTCTGCTTTACTTTAAATTTAAATTGTTTAGTATTTAAATGGCTGTAGCTGGTAGCATTTAAGTATCGCCCATGCGTTTTATTTATTGCTATTTACTTATGTTTATATTTTTGCTGCTTCACGTTCCTGCTAGTAACACTGGCGTGGTTCTGTTTGTTGCAGTTTAAGCCCTGTGCGTTGTGCAGTGCCACACTACCGCAACAGGATGGTCATACGGTGTGCCTCCGGTGGTATGTTGAGGAGGCTCATGCCAATCAAGGATGTTTATAATTAGCGTCCTTGCAATCATTTTTTTCCTGTTACGTTATGTTGTGTTATGTTACACATATACACTTCTCCTACATATACACACAAGGTGTCTCATGGTGACCAAGGTTGTGTTTTTTGCCTGTTTTGTTTTGCGCCTCATGTGCGTTCTTTTGGGCACGCATATTTTATGTTTTTTTCACTAATCTGCTTCAGGTGGGGTGTGATATTTGACATCTCCCCCACAAACAATGTTGCTAATGATTGATTTCTTACTTATAGCAGCAGCGGAGATCGTCAGTGCGCACTCGTATCTCAGACATGGTGTCCAGACTCCGAGAGGAGGTTGTTACCCGGTCTATGGGTAGAGATTGCACTGGTGCATCATTTTGGGAGAGGTCCCGACCCAAGCTCCGACTCCGGGAAGGGTCCGACCTCCGGGGGACGATCAGACCCGAGCTTTTCGGCTCTGGGGACGCCCTGAACCTGGGAACTAGAACCCCGGCGCTGGCAGAGCTACCGATTATCTCGACGCTCTGTACACCAGGGGAACCCTGCATTGTCAGGCTACTCCCATGTGTCTCGGGACCAGGGTTCAAACTCGAACTGCCTACCCGAGTACATATATGTATATATATATATATATATATGGGTGTTTAGGGGCTTCGGCACCGGTAGGTCGCAGATCCTCGGTGCCGGTAGTTCAGGTCTCGGCCTGATGTCTATTGCTGCCTTCACCAAGACACCACGCTCAGTGATCTCATCTGTCGAGACAGGGGATTGGCAGACCTCCTTGTTCCAATGCACCCCGATTTCAAGAATTACCTTTGGTTCTTTGGCGGGACATGCTACCAGTTTCGTGTGCTCCCCTTGGGCTTCTTTACGGCACCAAGGGTGTTCACCAAATTGGGGTTTATTCAGATAGCCAGATAGCAGTGCCAGTGTTGTCACCCGTACCTAGGCGACTGGATCATCAGGGTTCTAGAATAACAGTTGAGTCTAGAAACCTCGCAATCAGTGTTGTCAATCTCAAGAAGTCGGACCTCATCTCGGAGCAGGATCCGGTCTTTCTTGGGGGTGATACGAGTTTGAGGATGAGACCCATGCAGCAAGCTTTAGCAGCTGGGGTCACACTGAAAGAGCTACGAGAACTTTATCGAGACGCCAGAGTGGTTGATTCCTCATTTGCAGTGGTGGACAGACAAGGTGATCCCCCTGGAGACGCAGTCGCTCTCAGTCGAGACAGATACATCCCTCCCGGGTTGGGGCGATGTTCTGGGCGACCTGCGGTCTCTTGACAACGAAGTCACAACCTGCACATCAATGTGCTGGAATCGACAGCAGTCAGGTTGGTGTTTGATCCCGCACGTAGGGTTTCGAATTACCTTTAAAGAACAACTAAACCTTGCTTTTTTTTTTTACTCTTTTAACCATTACATATGAAAGATTTGTGGTAAGTCTTATGCGGAACACCAAATTTATTCTTATAAAACTTGTTGTTGATTAATACCGAGCGATGAAAAGTGGCCAAAAAGTCGCCTGCTTCATTCTCGCCCACCAACGAAACCTCAGACAAGTTACGTAACTCTGTCGCCGCAGTGAACCGGAAGTGACGTCATATGAGGAAGGCTTTTCAGTTCGTTGTATATAAAATGTGTAGCAAGCTCATCATTTTGATGATTTTTCGACATCAACGAAGGCATGCTGAATCGTTGCAGTGCCGTCAATTGCTCCCTGGGGTCGGGCGATGGTGTCACCATGCACAGATTTCCACAGGACCCCACAGTTTGTGCTAAATGGGTTATGTTTGTGAGTGCAAAGCGAGCGTTGTGGAAGCCTGGAACGATATCTTATTTGTGTTCAGATCACTTCACAATCTCACTCTGAATGGGGCGCCACACCCGAATCCTCAGATTTTCTCGGGGGCTTGGCCTCTGTCTGGTCTAACCTCCAGACATGCAGAATTCCTGCAGCTGTTGCAGACACAATTCTGGCTTCAAGGTGGGATTCAACACCCATTCAGTATGTTGATAGGTGGGGTGCGCTGGTGGGCAGATAGGGGGATTTCAGAATCCCTATTCTGCGGATTTAGTTCGGATATTGGAATTACTAAAACCCCGTTTAAGTTGAGAGCCTTATGGCCTTCACAATTCCCGGGTACTCCATGGCTATTTCCACCATTCACACCCCATTCGATGGTGCTCTGCCTAGGCAGCACCCTCTCGTACAGCACTTCATGTCTGGCCCTGACTTTTCAAGTATATCGTCTCTCTCACTTCACTTGTTGACGTGGAAGACGGCTTTACTTATGGTGGTGAGCTCTGATAGAAGGGTCGGGAACATCCATGCGATATCCACTGACCCGACACTAGGGGTGACTATTGAGGGAGATAGCGATAGTCTATTGCAACATACTATTGCGATAGCGATAGACTATTGTGACCAACTATTGCAATACAATAGTTTCTTTCTCTTTGAATTGTCTCATTTGAAGTCATTTCCCAAATGTTTATATGAAACAAAAACAGGTTAAAGTAGTTTCAGTCTAATAGCTGACAAGAAACTTGAAACCCAGATCAGGTAAACAGTTAAAACATAAACTCAGTGAAGCTGCAAGTCTTCACTCCAAATCAAAGTGAACGAATTTGGTACTTCCTGTAATTTGCGCTGCACGTTTATTATTGGAAGTCAGTTACTAAACTATCGATAGTCACACATACTATTGATGCATCAATAGTTTTTCATTTCTCCCATCGATTAATTGCTATCGGAGACTCAACAATTGCAATGCATCGATAGTTTGATGCATCGTTACAGCCCTACCCGACACTGACAGTATTTCATACTGATCATGTCCACATTCGCCTCCCGGATACCTACCACTCTCAGATCAATATTGCTTTCCATGTGACAGCTCATAACGAACTTCCACTGCTTACCCAGCCTTCCACATTGGGGACCGATCTTTCAAGTGCTCACCCGTTGGAGTGACTATAACAAACAAACGAAAGGGATCCGTACAGGTAAGTGTGTTTTTTCTATCTCCGATTCGGTCGTAGATCTAACTCCACCACGGGTTTAGTGTTGCCAGGCAGAATACCACTCCCGACTCACAATCTTTGGGAGTCTGTCTTATGCTTATATGTACCCCAAGGAGGACTTCTTCTGAAAAAGAATCATACAAACCTGTAGAGGTTATTGATTCTTTGAAGAAAGTCCTCCTTGGGGAAGTCCTCCTCCCCTCATTCTGTCTGATTTGTTCAGCATGAAAAGTGAGGTATGAGGTAAACAGACAGAGTTACCTGCTGTTGGCTGTAGGGGGCCCTGCGGGGTCCTGTAGGGGTGGTCTCACAAGACAAAAACGAGTTTTCTGTTTTGTAAATATTTTTATTAAAATATTGTTACAACTGTCGTAGGATTTAAAATGGACATTTAATTGCTTATATGTACCCCAAGGAGGACTTTCTTCAAAGAATCAATAACCTCTACAGGTTTGTACGAATTTTCTAGTGTCCCTGATATTGTTTATGCCAGTATGTAGTTTCCTGGGCATCTCTGATGTTGTTTATGCCCATGTGTAGTGTCTGGGCATCTCTGATGTTGTTTATGCCAGTGTGTAGTGCCTGGGTGTCCATGATGTTGTTTATGCCAGAGTGTAGTGCCTAGGCATCTCTGATGTTGTTTATGCCAGTATGTAGTATCTGGGCATCTCTGATGTTGTTTATGCCAGTATGTAGTATCTGGGCATCTCTGATGTTGTTTATGCCAGTATGTAGTATCTGGGCATCTCTGATGTTGTTTATGCCAGTATGTAGTACCTGGGCATCTCTGATGTTGTTTATGCCAGTGTGTAGTACCATGGCATCTCTGATGTTGTTTATGCCAGAGCGTAGTACAGTGTACTCTGTCAATACCGGCATCAGTCGGGACCAAATAAAAATGCCGGTTTTGACAGAGTGCCGGTTTAGCTAGGTTCGCTTATGACGCCTGCGCACACGGAAGTTCGCTGTCGTACTGTCACTTTAGCATTAACAAGATGTTTGAATAAGAAACAAGGCAGTGTCTGAATGCACATTCATGTTGTTTAAATCAAATAAAAATGTCTGAAATCTCTTATTAAATTTCAACTGATCATATATTATCGGCAGAATTAAAATTATAAACTATTTTTCGCAATGTTATTGAAAACAACGATTCTTGTTTATGCTTCGGCAGCGGGTCTACAATAGCATTGTCAAAGAGCAAAGTAACGATGTTTCAAACATCGAGGAAATCATTAAATAAATTGAAATCAACAATAACATTCATGAAAGTTGTCAAACGTACATATAAAATTACTATTTCCATACTTTTGTGCGATCATGCAATGTAAGTCAAGTCACTGACAAGTTACATCTCGGCTTTCACCGCCTCCGTCTTGACGCCTGGACACGATGCTTAATGTGAAAATATATGCGGTATCCATTTCCATAATATGATTGGCTGCTTAAGTCACGTGTCTGATTTTGACCAATCACGACCCTTATAAGCAGAGCGTAGTGAAAAAGCGTCGTTTGAAACCAATCTTTATCCAATAAAATCGCTTCTTACAAATGTAAAAATACTCTCGGCAAGAGTACAGTGATATTGTTGATGTTCAGAGCTTTCGAACGATACCCGCCATCAAACGATTCGCCTCTATGTAAGTGACACGTGCCACTCACTAATTAACAAGAAACTGATTGACACTTCCCGTTTCTGAATAATCTCGGGAGTTAATACCCGCGAATCAACAAAATGTAAACACTTGCTTGTTTATACAGTCAAACTGCCCACTACATGTATTAATTACTCAGGGTAAGTGTTACGTACCACTCACTGATTAACAAGATACTGATTAACACTTCCCGTTTCTGAATAATCTCGGGAGTCACAGCGAATTGTGTTGTTACATCATTTGGACCTAATTGCATCAAAGGGTTATGCCGTCTTTCATGTGCCGGTTTTTACAGATTCGTTTTCATAACAACTTGTTCGTTGGGACTGAAAAACAATGCCGATATCCTGAATAGACAGATGCCGATGTTTACAGAAGTTTCTAAATGATAATAACGTGCATTTCTGCCGGGACTGAAACTTTGTGCCGATGTAGACAGAGTGCCGGTGTTTACAGAGGCCGGTATTGACAGAGTCCACTGTACCTAGGCATCTCTGATGTTGTTTATGTCAGTGTGTAGTACCTGGATATCTCTGATGTTGTTTATGCCAGTATGTAGTACCTGAATATCTCTGATGTTGTTTATGCCAGTGTGTAGTACCTGGATATCTCTGATGTTGTTTGTCAGTGTGTAGTACCTGGACATCTCTGATGTTGTTTATGCCAGTGTGTAGTACCTAGGCATCTCTGATGTCGTTTATGCCAGTGTGTAGTGCCTTGTCATCTCTGATGTTGTTTATGCCAGCATGTAGTGCGTGGGCATCTCTGATGTTGTTTATGCCAGTGTGTAGTGCCTTGGCATCTCTGATGTTGTTTATGCCAGTATGTAGTACCTGGATATCTCTGATGTTGTTTGTCAGTGTGTAGTACCTAGGCATCTCTGATGTTGTTTATGCCAGTGTGTAGTGCCTTGTCATCTCTGATGTTGTTTATGCCAGCATGTAGTGCGTGGGCATCTCTGATGTTGTTTATGCCAGTGTGTAGTACCTAGGGATCTCTGATGTTGTTTATGCCAGTGTGTAGTACCTGGATATCTCTGATGTTGTTTGTCAGTGTGTAGTACCTAGGCATCTCTGATGTTGTTTATGCCAGCATGTAGTGCCTTGTCATCTCTGATGTTGTTTATGCCAGAATGTAGTGCGTGGGCATCTCTGATGTTGTTTATGCCAGTGTGTAGTACCTAGGCATCTCTGATGTTGTTTATGCCAGTATGTAGTACCTGGACATCTCTGATGTTGTTTATGCCAGTGTGTAGTACCTGAATATCTCTGATGTTGTTTATGCCAGTGTGTAGTACCTTGATATCTCTGATGTTGTTTGTCAGTGTGTAGTACCTGGACATCTCTGATGTTGTTTATGCCAGTGTGTAGTGCCTTGGCATCTCTGATGTTGTTTATGCCAGAGTGTAGAACCTGGATATCTCTGATGTTGTTTATGCCAGTGTGTAGTGCCTTGGCATCTCTGATGTTGTTTATGCCAGTGTGTAGTACCTGGGCATCTCTGATGTTGTTTATGCCAGCATGTAGTACCTGGACATCTCTGATGTTGTTTATGCCAGTGTGTAGTACCTGGGCATCTCTGATGTTGTTTATGCCAGAGCGTAGTACCTGGGCATCTCTGATGTTGTTAATGCCAGTGTGTAGTGCCTGGGCATCTCTGATGTTGTTTATGCCAGTATGTAGTGCCTTAGCATCTCTGATGTTGTTTATTCCAGGATGTAGTGCCTTGGCATATCTGATGTTGTTTATGTCAGTGTGTAGTGCCTGGGCATCTCTGATGTTGTTTATGCCAGTGTGCAGTGCCTTGGCATCTCTGATGTTGTTTATGCCAGTTTGTAGTGCCTTAGCATCTCTGATGTTGTTTATTCCAGGATGTAGTGCCTTAGCATCTCTGATGTTGTTTATGTCAGTGTGTAGTGCCTGGGCATCTCTGATGTTGTTTATGCCAGTATGTAGTACCTGGGCATCTCTGATGTTGTTTATGCCAGTATGTAGTACCTGGGCATATCTGATGTTGTTTATGTCAGAGTGTAGTACCTGGGCATCTCTGTTGTTGTTTTTGCCAGTTTGTAGTACCTGGGTATATCTGATGTTGTTTATGCCAGTGTCTAGTGCCTTGGATTCTATGATGTTGTTTATGCCAGTTAGTACCTGGGCATCTCTGATGTTATTTATGTCAGTGTGTAGTACCTAGGTGTCCCTCATGTAACATGGAGAACCATCTGACTGAGGCAGCTGTTTAACGAGCATGTTCCTGTTACATCCAGTGGCACTGAGTGAGGAGAATCGGTCAGTGCGGAGTCCACGTTTCAACCAGGATCGATCAAGACTGGTGTATCTGGACAACCCAGCCAGAGGAGGACACAGCCAGTGTTCACGGCTCATGGTGGTAAGTTGCTTCTCTAGCTGGTGTACATGGTGGTAACAGACCGAGCTAACTGACATAAAGCAAGAAATCATCCGTTTTATTTTGTTGTATCAGATTTGATTAATGATGTTTGAGATATTGGTAGTTAGGAGTGTTCCGTAGCAATAGATTATACTCCGTACCATCTGGATGATCATGATATTGATGATGTTTGAGATATTGGTAGTTAGGCGTGTTCCGTAGCAATAGATTATACTCCGTACCATCTGGATGATCATGATATTGATGATGTTTGAGATATTGGTAGTTACGCGTGTTCCTTAGCAATAGATTATACTCCGTACCATCTGGATGATCATGATATTGATGATGTTTGAGATATTGGTAGTTACGAGTGTTCCGTAGCAATAGATTATACTCCATACCATCTGGATGATTATGATATTGATGATATTTGAGATATTGGTAGTTACGCGTGTTCCGTAGCAATAGATTATACTCTGTACCATCTGGATGATCATGATATTGATGATGTTTGAGATATTGGTAGTTACGCGTGTTCCGTAGCAATAGATTATACTCCATACCATCTGGATGATCATGATATTGATGATGTTTGAGATATTGGTAGTTACGCGTGTTCCTTAGCAATAGATTATACTCTGTACCATCTGGATGATCATGATATTGATGATGTTTGAGATATTGGTAGTTACGTGTGTTCCGTAGCAATAGATTATACTCCATACCATCTGGATCATCATGATAGATTTATACTCGTGTGTACCATCTGGACTCTGTACCATCTGGATGATCATGATATTGATGATGTTTGAGATATTGGTAGTTACGCGTGTTCCGTAGCAATAGATTATACTCTGTACATTCTGGATGATCATGATATTGATGATGTTTGAGATATTGGTAGTTACGATATTGGTGTTCGTAGCAATAGATTATACTCCATACCATCTGGATGATCATGATATTGATGATGTTTGAGATATTGGTAGTTACGCGTGTTCCGTAGCAATAGATTATACTCTGTACCATCTGGATGATCATGATATTGATGATGTTTGAGATATTGGTAGTTACGCGTGTTCCGTAGCAATAGATTATACTCTGTACCATCTGGATGATCATGATGTTGATGATGTTTGAGATATTGGTAGTTACGCGTGTTCCGTAGCAATGATACCATTGATGATGTTTGAGATATGAGATATTGGTAGTTACGCGTGTTCCGTAGCAATAGATTATACTCTGTACCATCTGGATGATCATGATGTTGATGATGTTTGAGATATTGGTAGTTACGTGTGTTCCGTAGCAATAGATTATACTCCATACCATCTGGATGATCATGATATTGATGATGTTTGAGATATTGGTAGTTATGATGTTTGAGTTCGCAGGTGTCCAGAGCAATAGATTATACTCCATACCATCTGGATGATCATGATATTGATGATGTTTGAGATATTGGTAGTTACGCGTGTTTCAGAGCAATAGATTATACTCCATACCATCTGGATGATCATGATATTGATGATGTTTGAGATATTGGTAGTTACGCGTGTTCCGTAGCAATAGATTATACTCTGCACACCATCTGGATGATCATGATATTGATGATGTTTGAGATATTGGTAGTTACGCGTGTTCCGTAGCAATAGATTATACTCTGTACCATCTGGATGATCATGATATTGATGATGTTTGAGATATTGGTAGTTTACGTGTGTTCCCGTAGCAATAGATTATACTCTGTACCATCTGGATGATCATGATATTGATGATGTTTGAGATATTGGTAGTTACGCGTGTGTTCCGTAGCAATAGATTATACTCTGTACCATCTGGATGATCCTGATATTGATGATGTTTGAGATGTTGGTAGTTCTGTGTTCGTAGCAATAGATTATACTCTGTACCATCTGGATGATCCTGATATTGATGATGTTTGAGATGTTGGTAGTTACGCGTGTTCCGTAGCAATAGATTATACTCTGTACCATCTGGATGATCATGATATTGATGATGTTTGAGATATTGGTAGTTACGCGTGTTCCGTAGCAATAGATTATACTCTGTACATCTGGATGATCATGATATTGATGATGTTTGAGATATTGGTAGTTACCATGTTCCATTGCAATGTTCTGTACATTCTGGATGATCATGAGCAATAGATTATACTCCATACCATCTGGATGATCATGATATTGATGATGTTTGAGATATTGGTAGTTACGCGTGTTCCGTAGCAATAGATTATACTCTGTACCATCTGGATGATCATGATATTGATGATGTTTGAGATATTGGTAGTTACCCGTGTTCCTTAGCAATAGATTATATTCTGTACCATCTGGATGATCCTGATATTGATGATGTTTGAAATGTTGGTAGTTACGCGTGTTCCTTAGCAATAGATTATACTCTGTACATTCTGGGTGATCATGATGTTGATGATGTTTGAGATATTGGTAGTTACGCTTTGTTCCGTAGCAATAGATTATACTCTGTACCATCTGGATGATCCTGATATTGATGATGTTTGAGATGTTGGTAGTTACGCGTGTTCCGTAGCAATAGATTATACTCTGCACATTCTGGATGATCATGATATCGATGATGTTTGAGATATTGGTAGTTACGCGTGTTCCGTAGCAATAGATTATACTCCATACCATCTGGATGATCCTGATATTGATGATGTTTGAGATATTGGTAGTTACGCGTGTTCCGTAGCAATAGATTATACTCTGTACCATCTGGATGATCATGATATTGATGATGTTTGAGATATTGGTAGTTACCCGTGTTCCTTAGCAATAGATTATATTCTGTACCATCTGGATGATCATGATATTGATGATGTTTGAAATGTTGGTAGTTACGCGTGTTCCTTAGCAATAGATTATACTCTGTACATTCTGGGTGATCATGATGTTGATGATGTTTGAGATATTGGTAGTTACGTTTGTTCCGTAGCAATAGATTATACTCTGTACCATCTGGATGATCCTGATATTGATGATGTTTGAGATGTTGGTAGTTACGCGTGTTCCGTAGCAATAGATTATACTCTGTACCATCTGGATGATCATGATATCGATGATGTTTGAGATATTGGTAGTTACGCGTGTTCCGTAGCAATAGATTATACTCTGCACATTCTGGATGATCATGATGTTGATGATGTTTGAGATATTGGTAGTTACGTGTGTTCCGTAGCAATAGATTATACTCCGTACCATCTGGATGATCATGATATTGATGATGTTTGAGATATTGGTAGTTACGTGTTCCGTAGCAATAGATTATACTCTGTACCATCTGGATGATCCTGATATCGATGATGTTTGAGATATTGGTAGTTACGCGTGTTCCGTAGCAATAGATTATACTCTGTACCATCTGGATGATCATGATGTTGATGATGTTTGAGATATTGTTAGTTATGTGTGTTCCGTAGCAACAGATTATACTCCATACCATCTGGATGATCATGATATTGATGATATTTGAGATATTGGTAGTTCACGCGTGTTCCTTAGCAATAGATTATACTCCATACCATCTGGATGATCCTGATATCGATGATGTTTGAGATATTGGTAGTTACGCGTGTTCCGTAGCAATAGATTATACTCCATACCATCTGGATGATCATGATATTGATGATGTTTCAGATATTGGTAGTTACGTTGTTCCGTAGCAATAGATTATACTCTGTACATTCTGGATGATCATGATATTGATGATGTTTGAGATATTGGTAGTTATGCCTGTTCCGTAGCAATAGATTATACTCCATACCATCTGGATGATCATGATATTGATGATGTTTGAGATATTGGTAGTTATGCGTGTTCCATAGCAATAGATTATACTCCGTACCATCTGGATGATCATGATATTGATGATGTTTGAGATATTGGTAGTTACGCGTGTTCCGTAGCAATAGATTATACTCTGTACATTCTGGATGATCCTGATATTGATGATATTTGAGATATTGGTAGTTACCCATGTTCCATAGCAATAGATTATACTCTGTACCATCTGGATGATCATGATATTAATGATGTTTGAGATATTGGTAGTTACGTGTGTTCCGTAGCAATAGATTATACTCTGTACCATCTGGATGATCCTGATGTTGATGATGTTTGAGATATTGGTAGTTACGCGTGTTCCGTAGCAATAGATTATACTCTGTACCATCTGGATGATCATGATATTGATGATGTTTGAGATATTGGTAGTTACCCGTGTTCCTTAGCAATAGATTATATTCTGTACCATCTGGATGATCCTGATATTGATGATGTTTGAAATGTTGGTAGTTACGCGTGTTCCTTAGCAATAGATTATACTCTGTACATTCTGGGTGATCATGATGTTGATGATGTTTGAGATATTGGTAGTTACGTTTGTTCCGTAGCAATAGATTATACTCTGTACCATCTGGATGATCCTGATATTGATGATGTTTGAGATGTTGGTAGTTACGCGTGTTCCATCTGGATGATCATGATATTGATGTGTTCAATAGTAGCAATAGATTATACTCTGTACCATCTGGATGATCATGATATTGATGATGTTTGAGATATTGGTAGTTACGTGTTCCGTAGCAATAGATTATACTCTGTACCATCTGGATGATCATGATATTGATGATGTTTGAGATATTGGTAGTTACGCGTGTTCCGTAGCAATAGATTATACTCTGTACCATCTGGATGATCATGATATTGATGATGTTTGAGATATTGGTAGTTACGCCGTGTTCCTTAGCAATAGATTATACTCTGTACCATCTGGATGATCCTGATATTGATGATGTTTGAGATATTGGTAGTTACGCGTGTTCCGTAGCAATAGATTATACTCTGCACATTCTGGATGATCATGATGTTGATGATGTTTGAGATATTGGTAGTTACGCGTGTTCCGTAGCAATAGATTATACTCTGTACCATCTGGATGATCATGATATTGATGAT